AGTATAAATCTTATTCAGGAGAGAAGTTGTTTCTTTGGGAAGAATCCAGATATAATACTTGATGTTCCCAGATGTGTTATTTGGGTTATGCTGGGACTTACCATCAGGTTGGCAGAGCCCTTTGGAGTTGACATTTTGTGACCTGGTTAACATCACATTTGATATAGGCAGATACCTACTTGAGGTGGGCAGGGAATGGTTTCTTTCTTTTAACTCATCTTAAGTTTGAATTCAAGAAATAAATATCAACTATCAATTCCTTCTCTCAAGGATTCTGGTAGGCACAATGTTTTAGAAGCCCATGTTGTGTATGACAGGTGGTACCTTTGTCAGAGATGATATTTGCCTATTAGTCTTAAGTGATAGGATGTGCTTTCAACAGAAAGGAAAAAAAATCTAAAATGGTTTCCTTGGTGATGGTAGCCCTTTGGGTAGGGAGCAGATGTCAGGTGGAAAGTTGTGTGGTCCCTTTGCATCCTATATCAAAATTAAAACATCACTCAGGGTCAGAATGTTATACAGAAGGCAGTTGAGCTGATGCTATTTTAAAGTATCTAGAGGTTTGTGTTACATGGATGAAGGGGACTATGAGACAAAGGAGATGAGCTAACTCTTGGTGAGCTGGGGCATTTCTTCAGTGTGGTATTCCTTGAGGTCCTACAATTTTAAAATTCTACTCGAAAGTCGGTTTTGTTGACTGTTTTGCTCTGTACTATTTTGTAGGGATTGATTTTTCACTTTAGATTCTTATTTCAAACCAGACTTAATGGCGATCCCATGAGTTAACAGCCTCCTACTGTGAATGGAATACAAAATAAAGTTGTTGCTACCCACTATTCAATCAACTTGACTATGTTCCACCAAACCAGGAAGAGCTGTTCATTTATGTACAGGTGCAAGGACTCTTAGCATCCCCTCTGAGTTTGGTTTTAATGAACTGTCATTCACTTTAATGGGAATTGAGTGTGTTTTTCGGGGGGAGATGGACTCTGAGTTGAAAGTCAGAGTTTCTTAGAATGAGGTGATTGTAAGAATGTGGCATTGACCTGCCCCAAGATGTTATGTGATGCCTTGATGATTATAAGGGCTCTAAAGTAACTTAAAATTATGCTAGCATATCTTCTTACAAAACAGGAAAACATTTCAATAAGAGTACTATACCTATATCAAGTAATCTCTATTCTCATAGAGTACCTTCTTTCAGATATTTTTCTTTGACTTTCTGTTCATATGGGGCATGACATTGAAAATATAGTGTTTTATGTGTTTATAGGGCAGGCGATGAGAGCATAGTAATGTTATTCTCTATACTCTTTCTGCAACTTGCATTTGCAAGTGACAATGTGTCTTGAAGATATATGTCAGTAAATGTAACTCCACTGCATTCTTTTTCATCACTGATCATTGTTCCTAACCAGTGATTCTGAAAGAAGTGATGGCAGTGGACTGGCCTAAGTTGGCTCTGGCTGGTGTGGGAGTACGTGGGTGGGTGGAGTGGGAGGACAGGATATGGGCCACAACAAGCAGAGGGGGCCAGCTGGGTATGAATCAAGATTATATGTGACTTTCCTCTGTGCTTTATTTTTTGTTTTTCATAAATTAGCTTCTTCTTACGTAGGTTACTTCTAAGTTGGGTTGAGCAGGGAATGACGCTTTATTTTATCCTAACTCTTAATTCAATGAATGAAGTCAATTTTACAGAATCCGAAAAAAAAAAAAAAAAAAAAGGTAGTGGCTTGTCTTTACTATGTGTGGTTCTTCATTGTCATGGATTTCTGTCCTGTAGAAATTGTTGGCTTGTGAAGGCAGGGAGGGGGTCATGGGAAGCATTCTGGGCCAGACTCTTCACAGTTCCGGCTCATCTTCCTGCCATCTATGTGCCCTTTAACAATCCACTTTACTCTTCTGGGCTGCACTTTCCTAATGTGCTCAGTGCTTTGTCCTAATGTGCGCAGTTTCCTCGTGTGCACAGCTCTGACGTCTGTCAGGATGGACTAGGTTGTGCTGCAGTAACAGATAATTTCAAACTCTCAGTGGCTCCAACAATAAAGGTTTGTTTGCACTCATGTGTTGTATCTCTTTCAAGATAGCAGGAGGCTCTCCTCATTGTAATTATTTGTGGGCCTAGAGGATGGACATCTTGAATGTGGCTGCTCAGTACCAAAAGAGAGAGAGAGTGGCTACCTGTAAGTTAGTCACTGAGGCTGAACACTCCCTGCTCAGAGAATAACTCATTCTACTTCTTACATTTCATGAGTCAAAGCAAATGACTTTAAGGGAGATGGAAAGTATACACATACATGACACGTAAAAGGAGAATCAGACCTATTTAATGAGCCACATACTTCAAGAAAAGGGGTAGGAAAGCCTTAAAAACAAGTCATATCCCATAAGCTAGTCTTTTCTGTATATAGTAAACTCTTTGACAACATGGGTTGGGACTGCATATATCCACTTAGATGTTGATTTTTTCCAGAAAAGACAGTTGATCCTTCTTATCTATGGGTTTACATTCACAGATTCAACCAACAATGTAAATCTCTTGGTTGAATTTGTAGAACCTGCAGATACTGAGGGCTGACTGTAAGAGACTTGTGCATCTCTGGATTTTGGTATCCACTAGGGTCCTGAAAACAGTTCCCCAAGGACTGAAGTTAACTTGGGGGAGGCAACTATGTGAGGGGCAATGCCCCTAACCCCTGTGACTTCCACGTTTCCAAAGATCAGCCGCCTATCTGGGAACTTAAATTTTGAGAAATGAACAAAACTTGGAGAGGTCAGGCAGAGGCTGATGGCCATGGGCCAGATTCCATGACACCTCGACACCAGCAGAGCCACTGTTGGTTTTATGTGTGAATTTGTTTCTGGTCTCTATACAGGAAGACGGACTGCTCGCAAAAAGCTTACTGTTTAAAAAACTCCGAGTTCTGCCACAGCATCTGCTATATTGTTTAAGCAAAGTTTTAAAGACCAAAACTCAGATCTGGTTTTAGAAATCATCTGGTATTACAACACCAATTTTTGGAATGCTGTAGAAATCTCTGTCATTTTTTTGAAATGTGTATATTATACAAGTGTGGATGACAATTCCCAATAAATTGCGTGAGTTCTTAACACCATTGTGGTTGGCGGGAAATGATTTTTTTGGAGGTTTCCGTTCTAGATCTAGTCTCCCATCAATCAGAATTCTGTCTACTCATTCGGGGAGCAGAAATTCGTGTTTATACTGCTGGTGAGGTGACCTGTATATGTGGGCTCTGCTGGATGACTTTACCCAGAATGCAGCTGCTGCTGAATAGCCATGTTTGCTAGTGTTTTTCAGGGGACGGGGCCCACTGCAGTTATCCTTGCTTACGGGAGTTTAGTCTAAGGATATACAGGTTGAGGGTGGCATGCCTGGATGGCTGTGGAGACAGTCCCTCTGTGGTGGGCAATCCCAACACACCATTTATGTGCTGTGGGTTATTGGGACTTGGCCTCTTTTGGTGCCTCAAATTCAAACTTCCTAAGAGAGAGGGGGTCTAACTACTCTCTAGAGGTTGTAACCTCCACTGTTCTAACTACTCTCTAGAGGTTATAACCAGTGGAGGTTACAACCTCCACTACAGAGGAATACAGGGGACCAAGAAGCTTGGGGAGAGCTACAGCCTACTATGACTCTCTCTGTTAGTTTCTCATACACTTGTAATCCTTTGTTCTGTGCTTGCCTGCTGAATAGTAAACCCCATTAAGTGGGGGAGCTATTGAACTTCTGTGTGCCTCAGTTTCCTCATTTGTGAATCGGTGCTAATGACCAGTCCTGATAACCTCTGCCACGCAGGGCTGTCCTAAGGATTGAGTGAGATGATAGAGAAGAGTAAATAAGGTGATAATTACTGAGCGTTGCTGTGCCTTAGTGAGTGGCAAGCATTAGATCAATGCTGGCCCCCTGGTAAAGTGCTTGTTGTGTGTCAGCTGTGATCATCCTGTGCCCTGCCAGGGTGCCACAGTGTGGGGGCATCAAGCCTGCTCCTGGGTATCTGTAGAAGGATGCACGAGGTCACAGCATTCTGGAGCCTTTCCAGCACCTGCCTGCACCCTGGCTTCCCTTCCTGTGTCCCACTGATGATAGATGTTGTTATGTGACTGGCAGCTGCTGGAGGCTTCAGGGCAAGGCATCCAGACTTTTCCTGGCAATGTATGCAGGCCATGGCCACGGAAGGTCCTACCTCTGGCATCATCTTTGGTTCTCTGATTGGCATGTGGAATTCCTAAGTACAAGGCTGTAATACCATAAAGAGTGATAGGTTCTTACTCTTCTTCATAAACTAGACTAGGAAAAGCAAAGCATCCAAAGACACAAACTTCTGCAGCTCAGAAGTGGGTGTTGGTGGTTACAAAGAAACAAGAGGTAAGTGGAAAGACTCAAGATGCACATTGTGTTGCTAGACATATAAACAGGACAGGTGCAGCTCACATAGAGAAAAGCAATGTTAATAGTGGATGATAGGTGACTTGTTTTGTTCTCTAAACTTTGCTTTCCCATTTCTCCAATTTTCCACAGTGATCAAGTATTTTATACTGGAGAAAGTTATCAAAACATAGAAAGAAACACTAATGGAGACAAAAAATACATACATTTTTTTCCTTAGTATCTCAGTTACAAAGAATGTACATTTCCTTTCAGAGTCCCCTGGTGTGTGTGTGTGTGTGTGTGTCTGTGTGTGTGTGTGTCTCTGTGTGTGTGTGTGTGTGTCTCTGTGTGTGTGTGTGTGTGTTTGTTCTCCAGGGCTCCCCATAATTAAGGACAGAAAGGGGCATAGAAGTCAGTCTCTGCCCCAGAGCCTGGTTTCTCTGCAGAGGTGGGACTCCTTTCTAAGTGAGTCATTTCTCCTACGCGTCTAGGTGACTTCCTCAGGTGTATCCTGGCAGCAGGTCAGCCACCACATCCCGGGAAGCCCTGTGCCTCCCCCAGACTTTGACTAACACAGAACTCCTTTCTTTCTACCATTCCGGTTTACCTCATTCAGAAGTCTTTGCTAGTTTCCACATTATCTGCTTCTTCTTTTCTGCTATTTTTGTTTCTTTGCATTAGGTGGTCTCACAAGCTTCTGTTGGTTACCCTTCATCCTGTCTGCAAGGTCCTTGAAGTCAGGGTGGAGCTGACTCTATGTCTGTATGCTCTGTAATACGTGATGAAGGAAAATAAACAGATGAATGGATCCCACATCCTCCACTCTCAAGCTCAAAAACCAGTCAAAAGTCTGTAGCAGTGTTCCTGACAATTAAACCCAAGCAACAAAATTATGATTTGAGGTGGGCTAAAATAGTGTTTTCTCATTTAAAAAATGAGATACCTCCTATCAAAGGAGGTATCATAATTTGATATACGCTCCCCCCATCTAAGTAATATAAATCATATATAATCCTGTCACCCAGAAATAATCACAATTAATGTTTTAGTGAATTTCCTTCTGATCTTTTTTTGGGGGTGTGTGTATGTACATTTATATGGATACATATAATGCATATATGCAATCTGAGTATAGGGAATCCTTGAAGAAATTAGAATACCATCCATGTGATGAAATTTCATATTGCCTTTAAAAACGTCTTCAAAGAATATTTATGAACAAGAATAAATATCTGTGACATAGTAGTAAATTAACATGATATAAAATTACTTGGTTTTTTTTTCTAATTATGCATATAAGGTGACCCATTTCTATGACTATCTTACTTTTAATCCACAGATTTTGATATGGTATATTTTCATTATCATATAGTTAACATGATTTTCTAATTTTCATTTGAAACTTCTTTTTTGATCTATGGTACTTGGAGCTTAGGTATCTTTTTGTTTTTGATTTCCAGCTTAATTCCACCCTAGTCAGAGAACATAATCTGAAAGATTTCAGTCTCTATAAATTTATTAAGAACTTGCTTTATGGCCCAGAATATGGTTAGTTTTGACAAATACTCCATGTGCACTCTGCATGCTGGGCCTTCTCTTGCTGTTGGGTACAGTGTTCTGTAGATGTCTATTAGACAGACTTGTTGATAGTTTGGTTCAGATTCTCCATATTTTGTTTAGTCAATTTGTTCTTTCAGCTATTCTGAGAAATATGTTAAAGTTCCCCCTCATTTGTCAATTTTTGTTGATATATTTTAAAAATGTTACCAGGTGTATACAAATTAAAAATTTTAACATCCTTTAGAACTGACCATTATATCTTATGAAATGTTCTTCTATCTCTAATAACATTTCTTCCCTTACGATCTACTTTAATTTTAATAGAACCAGGTCAGCTCTTTTTGAGTTAGTATGTACCTAGTATGTCTCTTCCCATTTGGGGGAATGGATAAATGAATGAATGAATGAAACTGCCTTTTTATTTAAGGTATGTTTTTTTTCCTATCAAGTCTGCCACTCAGTATTTTGATTGGTGTATTTAGTCCATTTTCATTTGATTGAATTACTAATATAGTTGGATTTATGTCTGTGGTCTTGTTTTTATTTGTCTCATGCGTTTTTGTGTTCCTTTTCTCTGCTTTCTTTTGGAATTAAGAATATTTATTGTTGCATTTCCTCTTTCTAATATCTTGTATTTTTTTTTACTAGCTTTTAGCAGTAATCTTAGTGATTAAAACCTGAATCCTTGCATTGTTATTAATATAAAGAAATACTTTTGCCAGTTTTTAGAAAATGCTTTGACCTTAGAACACTTTAGCTCCACTGATTTCCTTCTACGCATTGATAATTATGCACATAGTAACACTTTCTGTTCTGCCCTCATTTTGTATTTGGTGATCATTTTCTTTTACTTAAAAAACTCCATTTAGTATTTATATTAATGAGCTGTGCTGGCAACATAGTCAGTTTTTATTTACCTAGAAATGTATTTTGCCTTAAAATCTACTTCATCAAAGTATACTTTCATACAGAAACATTCACATATTTTAAGTGTATAAACTAGTGACTTTTAACAAATCATATATATGTATTACATATGTGTATAAGTACACATGCACACATGTAGATATCTACATATGCATGTTTATACTTATGTATTGATACATATACATTCACATATGTGATATATTCTCCAATCAAGATACAAGTACCTTTCTATATCTCCAGAAAGTTCTCTGTATACAGTCAATTCTTCCCCCTCCCATCTCCTTGCCCTAAGAAACCACTATTCTGATTTCTAGATGGACTTCTAGAATCATCAATGGGATTATATGCTATATACTTTGAGTATGGTTTTTATCACTTGGCATACTATCCATGATGCTCATTCATGTTATGTTAGTATTTTATTCATATTTATTGTTGAATAGTGCCCTACTATATGAATGTACCCTAATCTGTGGAACCATTCACCTGTAGTTGGCTCTTTTGAAAATATACACTACAAAGCTGTCAGAATCTCTGAATCTTTTCCAAGAGCAGATTTTTAGAATGGAAAATTACTAAATCAAAACTTTTCACAGATTCTAGAAACACACTGTCAAATGGTTTTCTGGAGGGCTCCAGCAATGTACATTCCTGTAGTTTACTGAGAGCCCTGTGTCAGCTATCAACCACCCAGTGATTCCATTAGAGCTGCACCACAATGTCCAATACAGTAGCCACTGGCCACATGTGGCTATTGAACTTTTGAAATGTGGTTGGTTCAAATTGATATGTAATGTAAGCAAAATATGCACAGAAGAATTCAAAGTTTGAGTATGAAAAAATATTGGATAGTTTGATGCAATGTGAACATCGATAAACAAAACAAAGGATCAAACAAAACCAAACCAAGAATAAAATCTAGAAATCTGACTGTAAAATTGAGACTCCAAAGGGGTAGAGAGAAGGTGGAGAGCTAAGGGGGAGGAATATGGGTGCCTAGATGTTGGGTGTGGTGTGGTTAACCTACATATGAAAAGGTGTGCATCTGCACCCCTGAATCATAAACAGTGTTGAAACCAATGTTAACTCAATAAATATAAAAGATTAATAATTTATTCTTAAAAGGGTAACAATTAACCTATTAAACTTTTAAAATAATGTCTATTTAGGCAAAATCTTAAGCAAATAATGTATAGGTGGTACTCAACCATGGGGACTATGTGCCCAAATGACTGACATTCAGAAAACACCAGGAGCACTTGGAGATCCTCAAAGTCTGGATTTAAAAATTATCCTGTCACCATATCATTTACTTTTCACCACTCAGTATAATAGTATTTTCAGAGAAACCTCTCTTTCTTCGCATTTTTCAGATTCCAGAACAAATTTGGAAATTGAAGATTTAAAAGGACAATGTTTTAAAAATACTCCGATCGAATTCAAAGAATGATGCGAGAAACTTAAAAAGGTATTATTAACCACTAATTGAAATTTAATATTATCAACTGGTATCCCTTAAGGGAGCCAGTATTCTAGAGCTAGAGATACCAAAATGGGTCACAGAATTGACCACAGAAGGCTGGATTAGCATACTTTGGGTGAAAAAGTCACTAACCACTTACTTTCATCCTTTGAAATTCATTTTGGAAAGGTTCTCTTGCCCTTCTGTTACTTAAAATGTTAAATTATAGTGTCTCCTGCTCAGTCACTCAGGTTACAAAAGAAAGTTACTGTATGGGGTTCAGCTGAGAATCTGGGGTTTTGACAGTGTTTAACAACTTGATAGGGAAATATTTAATAAGAAAGTGTGTTGGAGAGTAGGAGACCCGTGTGTGATTTGGTGGAAGCAATTTGAACATTGGTGCACTTGAATGTTAACAGATGTGGGTTTGTGAAACATACATTAATGATTCTGACAGTGTTTTGAGGTTTAAGAATTTTTTAGCTCAACCAAAAAAATTTAAACGATCTCTCTAGACTATTCCTGTATCAGGTCTAGTATATATACTGCTGAAGGGAGCACACCTATGTAAGGTCTAAATGGCCACTTTGAGGCCTTTCTACTTCTAAGATTAGGATCCATTGAATTACACAAGGTTGAGTGATGAAGTGACTGAAGGATTTTATGCTACAAGAAAGCAAGTAACCCAAGTTATTTTAATACCCAGATGAAACAGCCTGTCCCTGCTCCTACCTAGATGGGAAGTTCAGGAGGAGCATGAGGTTTCCACTCAACCTGATTATGGAAAACAATACACCTTCCCAACTCTAACCTGCTCTAGGATTGAAGTACACATTTGTCTTTTTTAAAAAAATATGTATAGTAATATATAGTACTATGTTTTATATTTTACTATATATATTTTACTATATTTAAAATATTTTACTATATATTTTAATATGTAGTACTATATATTTTAATATATAATAAAATTATGAAGTTTTGCTAAACAAAAACGTTGCCCACCTCTGGTCACTTAGCCCCACAATGAAACCCACAAGAAGCAATGAAATTATTTTTCTTCAATACATCTCAGATCAGTGTCATTAAGCACAGGCCTCCTGTTCTAAGTAGAGAAATTCCAAGATCAAAGAGATGGAGAGAGAGCTCTTTCCCACAGCTGTTGCTTTGTTGGTGACTTCTCTCTCTTCAGGGCTGCACTGAGAGCCAGGCACCCTGGAGGGCTGCCTCTGGATCCCGATTGCCCTCCTGCCAGGAAGCCACATGCAGCCAAAGATGAATTTGGGTAAAGTAGCAGCTTGCTACTTTAGCCATGGAAACGTGGCACCGAGGTGAGATGGATGCAGTCCCCGCACATTCTCGCTCTCATAGTAAGTGGTTGAAAATCTACCGTGAACTTCTGGTCACTCACATCCGCAATACTCAGTGCCTATTGGACAACTTGCTGAAGAATGACTACTTCTCGGTTGAGGACGCGGAGATTGTGTGCGCCTGCACCACGCAGCCCGACAAGGTACCTGTGACGGGGTGGCATTGGCACTGTGTGGGCTTTAGTAGGCTGCAGGGACTTCTGCCCACTTAGCTGAGAGTTGAGCTTTGGTGCCTGGTGTACCTTCACATGCAGTGCTTTATAGAACATACACGCTTGGGCACTTGCTTATTACACAATAACATATTCACTTCCATGTTCACGTCAGGAGAGCCTTCCTCTTATGTCTCATCTCTCCTTGCTATGTGGGTCATTCCCATACACTTCTTTTTTCAATGCACTTTAAGTTAGTAGGAGAGAAAAAGAAAATGAGCCTAATACACTAGCAGGCTCCATTCAGTGTCTATATGCCCTGGAGAGCTGCTCCCTGCTGGTAAGACACTGAGAATGGCCAGTGCCCAAGGTTCCAGAATGATTGTGTCCTAAAGAATTTTCCACATTCCACTGTGGGAAGTCTTAACGGCCCTTAGTTTCACTTTGCCTTTCTGTCATCTTCTGAAAAATAAAATTGGCGAGACCCAGAGTTTGTTCCTGATTAGAAAATGACAGAACCTCTTTGTAATATGATCATGTTGGGTTTGGAGGAGCCCAGAAGGCTTTCTGGGGGAGCACAGTGATATATGCTTATGATTTTTCCCTGCATTATTAATAGTGCAAAGTTATGCAAGCTAAGACTTCCATGCGGGTCTGTTACCCCTCACAGTATGGGGGGTCCCCACCTCATATGTTTAAGGAGAGACTTCCTCTCCTTGGCACTCATTCCCTGAGAGGACAGAATGGCCTTAGGTTAAGCAAGAAAAGGAGACACAGAGAATTCCAGGTGGGCACAAAGCTAATTGTGAGGCTGACCTTTTTATTTTGACTTGTGGGAGCCTCTGGGTTTCTTAGAGATATGTGGTTTTAGTTCTTGCTCAGGGGATGCATTTCACAGATTTTGAGTCTTCAATGTGTAGCATCTCATAAATGCTAGGTGAAGGCCACGTTCAAGGCTGTAATGGGCACTTAGTGCCTAGCCAGGGGGCCCTTGCTGGTGGGAGCCACCCCCAGGCCCAGCTCAGTGCTCTCATGTTTGTACCTTTACCAGGTTCGCAAAATTCTGGACCTGGTACAGAGCAAGGGTGAGGAAGTTTCTGAGTTCTTCATCTACATCCTACAGCAACTCGAAGATGCTTACGTGGACCTCAAGCCTTGGTTGTTGGAGATGGGCTTCTCTCCTTCCCGGCTCATTCAGAGTAAAACTATTGTCAACACTGACCCAGGTACAAGTCAGCTCTGGGGGACTGCAAGCAAGGACCTGGAGGGTGGCAACACGGTAGTATGGCAGCATGGTCCCCTTGGCCAGCCTTGCCGTCCGCCTCAGGCAGCCAGCCTGGGACACTGTGTCCTTTTAGCAACAGAGAGCTGAGCTCTGTCATCCAAGTGCAGCTCAGGTGACTGTGGTTCACCTGACCCCATGTGGCTGGTGTGGTTTATATAGGGACTGTGGGAACATAGGAATGGCCTTCACTCTGACCTCCTGCTTATTTCTTGCTTCCTTCTCAGATATATGTAGACATCTTAATGGATGCACAAATTCAAGCTTGCATTTTTTTCCCTTTTAAAAATATTTCCAGATTTGACTCTAGGCAACTTATTGTTCTATCACAATGTTTTGTGATAGAACACACAGTATTGGGTGCCAGTCTTTATTTACAAAGTCCATGGTACCCTATTAATTGATTTGTTTAACAGGCATTGATGATGTACCACCTTATCCCAGGGCATAGCATTGAGTGAAGGGGTGCAGTAGAGAGACGACCTTGGGGAGCTCCTCGGCTAATGCAGGAGATTGACAATAAATACTTACACATGTATAGTAGCAAATGGTATTGTAGATGACAGCAGTTCAGGGTGCTGATATTGGTCTGGGGTTCAGGGAGAGGATCTCCAAACTTATGCTGTCTCTACTTTGAGACTGTTGTTGGCATTACTGCAGCACCATTGCCCCAAACTGATTATTTTTAGCTGTATTTTTTTATTGAGGCAAAAATGGTGTACAATTCTGTATATAATTTGGAGTATAGTTTCACAACTCTTCAGATGTATGTTGCCACATCATACCCACCACTGCAACATCCATAATCATCCACCGTAGTCCATTACACCCCTCCCCACTTTGTTTCCCTTCCTCTACCAAGATTTCTAGTGTTTGTTTTGGTGTAGTTTTTCCTGTTCCTTTATTTTGTTTCTCTGTATTTCACACATGAATGAATTTCACAATCCAATATTTGTCTTTCTCCTTAAGACGTATTTCACTTAGCATAATCCCCTCAAGTTCCATTTAAATTGTTGGAAACGGGCAATATTTCATCTTTTTAATAGCTGCATAGTATTATATTGTAGAAATATACCACATCTATCCACTCCTCTGTCCTTGGACACTTAGATTGCTTCCACGACTTGTCTATTGTAAATTGTGTAGGATTGCACATATCCCTTCCATAGTGTTGCTTTTTCCAGGTAGACACCTAGGAGTTTAATTGTTGGATTGTATGGTATATCTACTTTGTTAATTTTGCAAAGCCCTCACATTATTTTTCGTAGGTACTGGACCAGTCTACATTCCCACCAATAGTTTATGAGGATTCCTTTTTTTCCACATTCTTGGCAGCATTTGTTGCTGCTGGTCTTTTTGACATGGGCCATTTTATTATTATTTATTATTTCCTTCCCTCTGGAGACTTTGATTTCATTTGCTCTTGCTTATTTAACTTTTTCTTGTTTATTGATGTGGGCCCACATGCCTATAAATTTCCCTCTTATTACTGCCTTTGCTGCATCCTATTGTTTCTGATAGCTTTGTTTCCGGGTATTTTTTTACTTTCTCCTTGGATCAATTTTCTCATTGACCCAATAGTTACTCAATAGCATGTGGCTCAGTCTCCACATATTCGAGATTTTCCCCATTTTCTTCCTGTGGTTAATTTCTAGTTTCATGCCACTGTGGTCAGAGAAGATACTTAAAGTGATTTCAGTTTTCATGAATTTGTTGACACTGGTTTTGTGGCTCTACATGTGGTCTCTTCTCAAGAATTCCATGTACTGCTGAGAAGAATGTGTACTCAGCTTCTTTGGAGTGGAGTGCCAAATACATGTATATTAAATCCATCTGGTCTAATTTTTCATTTAGGGATGTTGTTTCCTTGTTGATTTTCTGTGTAGTTGATCTAGACAGATTTACGTAAGTGGCATGTTGAAGTCCCCTATTACTGTGATGCTGTCGATGTCTCTTTTTAGGTCTCTTAGCAGTTGCCTTACATATTTTGGTGTTCCTTTGTTTGGTACATATATGTTAATGAGAGTTATGGCTTCCTGATTCACTGATGCCTTATCATTACATTACGTCCATCCCTGTCTTGTGTTACATTTTTTAGATGGAAGTCTATTTTATCTGATATAGATATGGCTGTTCATGCCTTTTTTTTTTTAAAAAGATTTATTTATTTATGCATACAATAGCAGGGGTACAGGTCAGAAGCATGGGAAGGTGAGAGGATTTACCAGAGACAGAGTTGGGAGCAGAACAGGCAGATCTACTGAAATACACTGCTGAGGAGAGCACCGGGCAAGACAGGAGAGGTCTGTTGCGCCATGTGGGTTGCTCCCTGGCCAGCCGGGAATTGAACTCGTGCTGCAGAGGCTGCAGATTGCTTCATAGTGCGGTGCTTAATCCCTTGTGCCACCAGGGAGGCCCCGTGCCTTTTTTTTTTTTAATGCTACTGTTTGCTTGTAGAATTATTTTCCAGCCTTTTACTTTGAGCCTATATTTATCTTTGGACCTTAAAGGTGTTTGTTGGAGATAATAGAAGGTTGGATTGTGGCTTCTGATCCAACCAGCCAGTCTGTCTTTTAATTGATGAGTTCAGGTCATGGAAATTTAGGGAGATTATTGACATACAGGTATTAATTGAATTCTTAGAGATTTTTTTTTCTTTTAGAGCATCTGTGACCTTTTGCTTTTCTATAATTGTTTTTCAGATTCTCATTGTCTTTAATTTTTGCCATTTTGACTAAAATATGTCTTGGTATTCATCTGTTTGGTTTTATTTTGTAAGGAAAGCTCTTTGAATCTTTTGGAGCTGGATGTCTGTTTCCTTCCCCACTTAATGTCCTTTCTCAGCTATTTTTTTTTTATAATTATATTCTAAAGTTTATTTACTTCTTTCTTCAAATAGGATTTCTGCCCCCTTTCCTCCCCTCCCTCTGGAATCCCTATGATGTGAATGTTGTTCCTCTTGATGCTGTCTCATAGGTCTCCTAAGTTGTCTCCAGACTCTGGTTGTTTTTTTTTTTTTTTAAAGTATATAGTTTGGCCTTGTAAACAGAAACAAAGGACAATATCCCAGACAATTGGTGTGTGTTTAGGGGTAACCAGGCCAACCAGCAGTGTGTGGGTCAAGGCTGTTGCCCTGTGCCCCAGCAGATACATGCTGGCTTCTGCTCACTTCTTACTTTTTCTGCTCCTTCCCACCTTGTTTTGTTTCCTTTCCCCAAGAAATACTTCCATACTGAATAGTTCTCTAAAAGAATTATCCATTGCTTCCTTTAGTCAGCTACTAGAGTAGCTTTTAAAGTATAATTTACAAGAAGCCAGATGTGAAAGACCATGTCATATGATTCCATTTACATGAAATGTCTAGATAAGGAAAATTTATAGGGACAGAAAGCAAATCAGTAGTTGCCTAGGACCAGGGCGGGGACAGGGGCTGGCTGCAAATGGACTGATGATGATGTTCTAGAATTGGGTTTTGGTGATATTAGCATAACTTCATAAATTTACTAAAAACTATTGATTAGTACATAACACCTCTGGTAAAAATAGGTGCCTTTTCTTTTTTTTATACTTAAATTATGCCTTAATAAAACTGTAAAAAAATAATTCATTTCACAAGGATTAAACAGACAATCCAGTTGGGTTATGTTATGGGGGGGGGGAGGTATAAATGAACCTGGATATGTGCATAGGTGTCTAATATTTTCTTTAATTATAATTTAAGCCTAGAAATTATTTTGAAGAAACAAATGGAGCACTTGGTCATTTGCAGAAGGACCACATCGCTCTGGTGCTAGCTTCGTTTTGTGCTCAGGTTTGCTAAAGTTATAGTATGCTCTGTGCGCAGGCCCAGGCTCATGCTGAACCTCAGTGATCCCTAGACCTCATCTTGGGAAGCAGGACTGGTTTGTTCTTTGTACTGGAGACCAGTTTTCATCCTAGTTTACTGAATTGTGTTGATTTAGACGAGGCACGGCTCATTGGTGTTGCAGATTAATGTCAAATGTGTCATCACCAAAAGTTTCAGCTTTCTCTTTAGTGAGACTTAACCATTGCTGCAAGAGCAGTGTAATAAGCAAAAGAAAGGTTAGGGCATTTTCTTCCTCAACAATTAAAGCTTCGATAGGGGCTGACTCTTGCTATTTGAACAGGACCCTAGCACTGGGTGGATGCTGGCCCTCAAGTTTGAGGGACTTCTGTTTATAGCTAGAGTTCAGTGATATTTTGTGCAGAGGAATAGGGAGGTCTGTCTCACACACTGAGCCCAGTTTGAGTCTGTCACCCTCTGACTGGCTAAATTTAAAGTCAGCAGAAGTGGGGCCCAAGGATCTCAGATTCTGGAATACCAGTCCTTTTGCCTTGAGGAGTTGAACTTGGCTCATGGTTTAGGTTATGGGTATGTGTTGACTTCAGATCCTGAGACCTCCCGTTTCTGCTCCCACCCCTTCTTTCCCCATTCCTACTTCCACCTCCCTCCTGAGACTCCCAATACTCACTCTCCCTCCAGTGAGCAGGTACACCCAGAAGCTGCGACACCAACTGGGCCGGGACTCCAAGTTCATCCTCTGCTATGCACAGAAGGAGGAGCTGCTGCTGGAGGAGATGTACATGGACACCATTGTGGAGCTGGTCAGCTTCAGCAATGAGAGCCTGGGCAGCCTGGACAGCCTGGCCTGCCTCTTGGACCACAGCGTGGGCATTCTCAATGAGCAGGGTGAGACCATCTTCGTCTTTGGTGACGCGGGTGTGGGCAAGTCCATGCTGCTCCAGCGGCTGCAGAGCCTGTGGGCGACAAGCCAGTTGGACACAGGGCTCAAGTTCTTCTTCCACTTCCGTTGCCGCATGTTCAGCTGCTTCAAGGAGAGCGATGTGCTGTGTCTGCAGGACTTGCTCTTCAAGCACAATTGCTACCCGGAGCAGGACCCTGAGGAGGTGTTTGCCTTCCTGCTGCGCTTTCCCCACACAGCCCTCTTCACGTTTGATGGCCTGGACGAGCTCCACTCGGACTTTGACCTGAGCAGCGTGCCTGACACCTGCTCCCCCTGGGATCCCGTGCACCCGCTGGTCCTGCTGGCTAACTTACTTAGCGGGAAGCTGCTTAAGGGGGCCAGCAAGGTGCTCACAGCCCGCACCGGCATTGAGATCCCACGCCAGCTCCTTCGGAAGAAGGTGCACCTGCGGGGCTTCTCCCCCAGCCACCTGAGGGCCTACACCAGGAAGATGTTCCCTGATCGGGCCCTGCAGAACCGCCTGTTGGACCAGTTGGAAGCCAACCCCAACCTCTTCAGCCTGTGTGCCGTGCCCCTCTTTTGCTGGATCATCTTGCGATGCTTTCAGCACTTCCACAGTACGTTCGACAGCTCCCTGCAGCTGCCCAACTGCACCATGACACTCACCGACATCTTCCTGCTGGTCACTGAGGTCCACCTGAACAGGACACAGCCCACCAGCCTGGTGCAGCGGAACACCCGGAGCCAGACGGAGACCTTTCGCGCTGGCCGGGCCACCCTGCACTCACTGGGGCGTGCAGCCCACTGGGGCATGGAGAAGAACCTCTTTGTCTTCAGCCAGGAGGAGGTGCAGGCCTCTGAGATCCAGGAGAAAGACCTGCAGCTGGGTTTCCTGCGGGCTGTGCCAGAGCTGGGCCTCAAACAGGACCAGCCATCCTATGAGTTTTTCCACATCACCCTCCAGGCCTTCTTGGCCGCCTTTTTCCTTGTGGTGGACAACAAGGTGGGCACCCAGGATCTGCTCAAGTTCTTCCAGGAGTGGGTGCCCCATGGGGAGTCAGCAGTGGTATCCTGCTATCCCCCGCTCCAGTGCCTGGGGAGCAGTGGTCTGGCAAGGGAAGATCTCTTCAAGAAAAAGGATCACTTTCAGTTCACCAACCTCTTCCTGTGTGGGCTCTTGTCCAAAGCCAAAAGGAAACTCCTGCAGCACCTGGTGCCTGCTGCAATCCTGAGGAGGAAACGCAAGGCCTTGTGGGCATACCTGTTGGTCAGCCTGCGGTCCTACCTGAGGAGCCTGCCCCGAGTCCGGTCTGGGGGCTTCAACCAAGTACAGGCCATGCCCACCTTCATCTGGATGGCGCGCTGCATCTATGAGACACAGAGTGAGAAAGTGGGGCAGCTGGCGGCCAGGGGCATCTGCGCCAACTACCTCAAACTGACCTACTGCAACGCCTACTCGGCTGACTGCAGCGCCCTCTCCTTCATTCTCCACCACTTCCGCAAGCAGCTCGCCCTCGACCTGGACAACAACAACCTCAATGACTATGGGGTGCGGGAACTGCAGCCCTGCTTCAGCCGCCTCACTGTCATCAGGTGAGGCTGCCAAGCACAGGGAGCTGCCAGTGGGGTGTGCCAGACTTGCGGGACACCAGGACTAGTATTGTGGAGTGGGTGCTCCTGAATTACCCTAGGACCCATAACCTCTAGTCTTGGAACATCTGAACCGTCTCTGCCACAGGGTGGCAGAGGGCATGGAGCAAAGCTTTACAGTCAGGTGGACCTGAGTTATGCTAGGCCAGGTGTCCTTGAACAACCTCTCTGAATCTCATTATCCTCACCTATAAAGGAGATTTTCATATCCTAGCAATTACAGTAATAACAACTAGCATTTATTGAGAATGACTGAAATGCATTGCAATTATTACCCCATTCAATCCTTTTAACTCTAAAAGGTAGGTACGGCTGTTATCTCCATTTTGGCAAATGAGGAAGTAGAGGCACAGGAAAGTTAATACGTTGCTCAAGGTCACACAACTGGGCCACGGCAAAAATGGAATCATTAAGAATCTACCTTTTGAAGTTGATATGAGGCTCAGAGATAGCCCATGAAACATTTCTGGCACATGGAAACTTTCATGATTGTAAAAAAAAAAAAAAAAAAAAAAAGCAGACTTTGTGCTAGTTGGCATTAATCCCTTTCATGATCAAAGCCAGCATCTCTAGTTGCCAGTGATCTAAGTAAATAACACAGACCCTTGATTAGTTTCCTGTTTGATGGTTTAGAAAAGACAAAGACCTTTCTTTCTTCTGTTAGCAGCTAATATAAAATATACCTTATAAATCTCTACGTGGTTTCAATTCTCTATTACTTGGTTCATGAATTTCTTACCAGAGTGGATTTGGAGTTGATTCTGGATACCTGTTATAACGATAGTGCCCATCGTGTGGGCTGGAGAGGTTGTGAGGAGCCCAAGGCCTGGGAATTGGAAGACCTGGAATCTTCTCTGGGCTCTCAGGCAGTGACTGTCCACAACCTCAGCCTGTCTCACACCCAGGATCTCCCTGTGGCCATTGTATAAGATGGACACTCCATCAGTACAGTGATCTGGCCCCAGATAGCTGCCCAAAGTGACACTTCCTTCCATACCAACAAGGGAAAAGCATGAAGAAATGGGCTATCCAATATTTTGAGGCCCTTGAGAGCATCAGTTAGGATTAGTTTTGGCTAAAAGTTAGAAAATCTCAAAATATTAGTAGCTCAGATACGTTTCAAGTTTATTTCTTTCTTTCATGCAAGTATAAAGGACCAGGCTCTTGTCCTCCTGAGACCAGCAGGAATTGGGCTCTCTTCTACCTTAATCTTTGCCTTTTTTACTTGACTCCACCACTTGGTCCAAGATGACTGCCCAAGCTCCAGCCATCCAGTCAACTTCTAGCCACCAGGAAGAAGGGAGCCACTTTGCTGTGGCTTAAAATTACCTTTTTCTACTTGGCCCTTTTACTTATCACAGAGGTCAAATTATGGGCTCATTTTGGCCCATGGGGCTATATTTGTAAGCTAAGTTTTACTGGGACACAGCTGTACCATTTGTTCATGTATTGGCTGCTTCACAGCACATTGCTGAGAGGTTGCAGCAGAGACCAAGTGATCAGCAGAGATGAAAACATTTGTTCTGTTTCTTTCCAAAGGAACGAAGCTGACCCCTCGTGTTGATCAAGGCTGTGTTGGAGTCCTGCTGATGGGCTGGCTCTGGTTGGGGGTGTGGGCCCCACAGTGACGAGGCTTTTTGTGGGCTAATGGCTGATTCCTGGGAAAACTCTAGGCCTTTTAGGATTGTGGATTCTTGTGGAATGTATTATAATGAATAGCTGCTCTGATTTGTCATTTTCTTTTCTGTTTTGTTTCAGACTTAGCGTAAACCAGATCACCGATAGTGGGGTAAAGGTGCTTTATGAAGAACTGACCAAATACAAAATTCTAACATTCCTAGGGTAGGTATTTTTCAAAAACACTGGGCCAACTCTGAAGTAATAATACTGGGAAGCAGGAAATCGCTATTGATGCAAGCCAACACACAGTGGGGCTGAGGCCAGGGCAGCAGGGACAGGTACCAGAAGCCCTGGGTTCTGCTCAGGGCCGGGCCAGGGCCAATTATTTGAGCAAGTCAGGAAATCCCAGCCTCAGCCTCTACACTTGTGTAACTGGAGTCCTAGTATGGGAAGATGGTTTTACAAGTGGATATTGGAGGAGATGATCGGGAAAACACCGGGGGTACATTCTGTATGTCTTAGACTTCCCTACCATGGGCCTGTGGCCTCATAGCCAGAGCATTTGGGGCAAGATACAGATCAGCACTCAGAACACAAGCTCTATAGTAGCGACAGGACCACTGGGTCGAGGCCAATACACCTTTTCAAATACTTGAATGTTTTGTAGCAAAAATACATGAATATTCAAACCACATGGGATAAAGATGAATAGCTGCACTTCAGTTGCTAAAATAATTTTAGAAAACACTGAGTTTTCAGTCTTCTGGATTTAGGAGTTCAAGATAAGGGATTGAGGGCCTCTTCAGCCAGCCCAACGGCCACGTTTGCCCTTGGTTGAAAGCTTGGGTTGAAAGGAGAAAGGCAGAGCATACAGGGGTCAGAGTTTGGAACTCTAGGGCCTCATAGGCTGGGTTCAAAGCCAGTCAGTCTGCCTTCAGTCAGCTCCGCTGGACCTCAGTTCCCCCAGCTGTAAATGAGGACATAGAGGCACATGCTCCCAGCTCAACTCAGGAGTTCTTTGCCTCTGTGGGACACGTGGACCCCAGTCTAATTGCCACTTTCACATTCTTTACGCCTTGCTGTTAAATTGGTATCAAGTGGTAAAATGATTAAACATAGAAACTAAAAATAGACTTTGAGGAAGTTTCCGGAGGGAAAGTTTTCCCACTCAGCATGCTGACTGTAATCTTAATCTAAAAATCCCATCTCCTGCCATAGAGCAAGCTCTTGTGTATGTGGGGGCTTCGGTGATTTCACAATCATCATAGCAACTCTGTAAGGGGTTGTTAAATATTACAGCCCTTGTATTACAGATGGAGAGACTAAGGCACAGAAGGCATATGATCTTGTCCCAGATCATGAAGCTGGGAAAAGTGGGGAAGCAGTCTTTGAACCCAACCTGTGAGGCCCTAGAGTTCCAAACTCTGACTCCCGTATGCTCTGCCTTTCTCTTTTCAACCCAAGCTTTGTTCATTGGCAGACATCACACACTCAATTTAAAAAAGGTGTGTGTGTGTGTTACATGTGGAGGGGAGGAGATTGGGGAGGGGGCTGTCATTAAGAGAACATTGGGAGTCACGTAACTCTCACAGTTGCACTTTCTCTCAAAGCTTATACAACAACCAGATCACTGATGTTGGTGCTAGATATGTGGCCAGAATCCTAGATGAATGCAAAAGTCTCACGCACCTCAAGTAAGTGTGTGTGGGGGGGGGCGGGGAGGGCGGCATTTCCTTAATAGTTCACTTCTCCTTGCTGTTCTTATTACACCTTCCTTGTGCAAAAAATAAATTCACCATAAAAAACTTTTACCCTGAAAAGGCTTCTGTTTGTCCCTGGGCCATATGAGTCAAGTTAGGAGATCAGTGTGTGAGTTGTGGGTGAGGGAGATTTTGCAAGGGCCACCTGCCACTAGTGGGGAAAAGTTTGGGGTTTTGATTGACTAATGACCTGAAGGAAGACCAGGTCACTCTTTCCAAGGTCTTTTTCCCTCCTGAGGCAGTTCCTCTTAGTCCACTAGGCTACTGTGACAAAATGTCATAGTCTAGATGACTTATAAAGACCCAAATTTATTTCTCACAATTCTGAAGGTAGGAGGCCCAAGATAAAGGTGCCAGCAGCTTCAGTGTTTTGAGTCATACAGGGCCCTTCTCACTCTCCTCACATGGTGGAAAAGGGGTAAGGGACCTCCCTGAGACCTCTTTCTACTTAGCTAATCCCATCCCTGAGGGCTCCACCTGCACCTTCCACAGCCCCCTTAGCACCTTCCACAGCCCCCCTCCTCCTAATACCATCACATTGGGGCTAGGATTTTAACATATAAATTTGGAAGGTGGCATGAACATCAGACCATACCACCCCATCTAATTGCAAGCAAGGGTTTGATCCTCTACCCTGTCATAGAAATGTCCTGTCACTGTTGACAGAGCCCCAGGCTTGGAGCCTCAGGTGCTTGGAACACACACTTTGACCATGTGCAGTTCAAGTGGAGCTGCGATGGGAGTGAGTGATGGTCCAGAGAGCACTGAAGGTACCTCCCCTACCCCTACCCCACAAGAGTCCACTAAATATCCACAGAGATTATAAGCTTCTCCCGGGAGGCAGCCCAGGACATGACTTCAGAGTCCTGGGAGGAAGCCTGTCCTCCCAAGAGAGGCCAGAGGGTCTCCACACTGGGACAAGGGCGACAGATGTTGGAATCCCCTCACAACCCAAGGCTGACTTGTGACAACTCTCTCTGCAGACTAGGAGCAAACAAAATAACAAGCGAAGGTGGGAAGTGTCTCGCCCTGGCTGTGAAGAACAGTAAATCAATCTTTGATATCGGGTGAGTGGAGGTGAATGCGTGTGAGTGTGTAACATGGCCCGTTACTGATCTTTTCGAACAGAAAGATCCCAAAAGGATCTGGGGGATTAGCAGTGCGGGGAGAGGCTGCAGAGCTTTCTAGCAGACCACCTGGCTTCTGATGGGAATGTGTGGCAAGGCCAGGATTAACTGCAACATTAGTGGCATGGACTTCTATTTTAGTCAGGCAAAATCCAGTTCTTTTGCTCTCTGTACATACAGAGATGTTAACATAATAGGGGTCAAGACTATATGTACACCATTTTTGTCTACCCTTTTCACTTAATCTCCTGGCAAGAGTATTTTCTAATTTGTTAAAATTCGACACCATTTAACTGTAAAGTTCACACACTTTTTAAGCACAACACTGGAGACTCTTATTCCAGGGGTTTTACAGCCGTGCTGGGAGGGACACAGGCAGGTTGCTTGCTTGGTGAGAGCATGTTGCTGAAGTGGCCCCAGTTCTGTGGAGAGTAGGCAGGTGGATTTGCTTTGTTTTGTGTAGACAGTGCCCCTGAGCACTACAACTGACACTTATTCCAGGCCAAGCACTGATGGAAATGCTCTGTATGGTCAGCTCATCCAGTCCTCACAACTCTACCAAGGGATGTTATTATCCCCATTTTATGGTTGAGCAGACTAAACTGCATGTGAATTGTAATTTGCCCAGGATTGCAGGTAGTAAGTGGCATATGTCTAGCAGCCTGGCTCGGGAGCCCAAACATCTGACAGCGTAGACCTCATTTTAGCCAGAGCCCCTCAGGTTACCTGCTGGGAGGATGGTTGGGGGAGCACAGCTCTGTCATTGCAACTGCCCATGAAGGCCACAACAATCTGCACAGGGCAGCTTGGTAATGCCCTTCTTAGATAGAAGTAACATTGCTGATGTTCTGAGTGTATGTTCTGGAGGCTGTGTCTTCTAGAGTGTGTCTAAGCCCTGTGCAGAGTGGGGCTGTGCTGGGAGCTCCCTTTCTAGGCTGCTGCCCATCTGCACAATAGTGAGGGACACTCAGGTACAGACCTCCCTTGACTTCCATTGGGATAGTCCTGAAAAACCCACTGTAAGTTGAAAGTACCCTAAGTGGAAACTGCTGACAACACAGCACACGGTAGGGAACTGATCACCTGGCTGACTGGGAAACCCAGCCTCACAAGAGAGTAAGGTACTGCCTATCACTGGCCTGGGGAAAGATCAACATTCTAAGAACAGTTTCTATTGAATGAGTGTTGCTTTTGAACCATCGTAAGTCAGAAAAGACTAAGTCTAACCTGGTAGTTCGGGGCTGTCTGTACTGTCTGCTGGGACAGCCTTGAGTGCAGGCTCCCAGTCAGCTCCCCCAAAGCCTGGGTGAGGTTTGATCCCTCATTGTGTGACTTGCTGATCAACATATGTTCAGTAGCCTTCCACCAGTCATTATTCTTACATTTCCCTTTGAATTGAAATTTACAGCAGCCAAGAGGCTTGTTGGAATTGCCTCCAGGCACAGAGCAAAGGCATCTACCTATTGAATATTCAATCAAGCAGCAGCCACTGGCAGAAAATAAGGGGTGGGTGGGAGTTAACTTTGTCTTGCCTCTGTCCTCAGGATGTGGGGCAACAAAATCGGTGATGAAGGAGCCAAGGCCTTTGCAGAGGCTCTGAGGAACCACCCCAGCTTGACTGACCTGAGGTAACTGCTGCGTCTGAGACCCGCTGTCCCTAAGGCCAGCCTGCTCCTTCTGCTTCTGCTGGCTGGGGAAGAGGGAGATTTTCTTTCCTAATGGAGGAGGTACTTATGGGTGTGATTTTTCTTCTTTTTAAAATGCTTTTATTGACACATAAGAGCCGACAGTGAAGAACATTACTGTGAAGTCTTCAGTTCTGCTATTTGGCGTGTGCGTGTGCAATGTAACCAGCACATGGATCAGGGTAGCACATTGCAGGCCCCCAGCCCTCTCCCCAGGCCCCCAGGGAGCCTGGAGGAAGTTTTCGCTGGGCAGCAGTTTCCCACCCTTCCCTCATTCTCAGGCCACTGCCACAATAAGGGGGTGCTTCATCTCTGTAAACAGACACGCTCCTCTTCTGCTCCCCCTTAGCCTCTGGCCAAACCTCAGCAACTCCTTGTCTCACTATTATCTGTTTCTTCATGCCACTGAGAGAGAACACAAGATGGTGGGGGCAACAGCAGAGCCCTTCTTCACGAGAACAGAGGAAATGTCACCAGGTCTCCTTGACGGGCACCTTGCAAATCAGCCCTCTAAAGCAGAGCTTGCCAGGTCTCCAGGGCCCACCGAAGTTCTGTTTCCTGTGCTCCTTGAGCAATCGTGCGCCTGTCTTCATGCTCCAGAGCACCCAGCCCGGGCCCCTGCCAGCGCGGCCCAGTGCTTCTGCTTCCTCCAGTCAGCCTGGGCAGGGGCCACATCCAGGCGGGGTCTTAGTGGCTGTTTTGGTTGCAGAATCCCGAGCCAAATATAGACATGTCTCTAATAATTTACCCCATGTGTTTTCCTCCCTAGTCTTGCATTCAACGGCATCTCTGCAGAAGGAGGAAAGAGCCTTGCACAAGCCCTGCAGCAGAACACAACTCTAAGAATATTCTGGTAATAACCATAGTCATTTTAAAGGGTTGAGTCTCAGAAATTATCCCAGAGGCTATGCACAGCCCAGAATTTTAACTGAAAAGCTGTGTCTCCATTGAAAAGACTGGGGTTTTCCTTAAAGTTAGTATAATTTATTTTCTTCCTAGGTAAGAAAGCCCTTAAGCACACAGAGGTACAGAAGCGGGGAGTGGGCTGCAGGAACAGTGATTGAAACCTTCGCCTTCTTTGCTAGCTCAGACTCCAGGAAAACTAGAAGCCTGGCCCTTCTGTCCAGGATATCCTCGAACTTCTCAGCCTTGCAGCAGCCAACTTCTAAAGCATTTGGCTCAAAATGTTCTCTCAGCTGCCTTTCTCCCCACACAGCCTCCATCCCGATAGCCACACCAGGCTTCAGCTTTCATGCCCCAGTTCACCTGTCACCTGTCCAGGAGACCACAGTCCCCCAATCCCTCTCTGCACTGCAGGGGCGCTGATTACGCATATGTTGCCTCCTGATAGTGATTTTTGTTGCTTCTTCTATTTTTGTCATTTACTCTATTTCTATCTATTTCTATTTTATTACTCCTGTATTATGTTTTCAGGTGAGGGAGCTGTATGACACATCTCTATCCGCTTGCCGCCAGCACTCATGAGATACTGGCTAACTTAGTGCAAATGAGAATGTCATCATAACAATGGTCACTAGACCTGCAGGCCCCTTTTCTCCTCAAGAAAATCTTTCAAAAGATTTCAAATAGTAGTATATGGTTTTTTGGGAAAAAAAAATGTAAGACACTGAAGTCTGAACAGTAGGAAGTTGAAAATATCTCTTCCCTCATGTTTTCCAAATACAGTCTTTTCCTTCTAGCCTTTGACTGTTACTCCAGCCTACTAGCATTGAAAGATAGAAAAGCATTGAAAAATCTTAACCACATAGTGTAGATATCTTATGTGTGTGTCCCATTATGTTGGGCTTTTGCAATTCAACACTGTTGACATTTTGGCCCAAACTTCTGCTGTGAAATTTTTTACTGTGAGCAGCCCCCTGCCCTCTAACCACTAGATGCCAGTAGTGCCGCCAGCAATGACAAAAATGCCTCCAGGCTCTGGCTAATGTTCCCTGAGGTGGAGTTGAGAACCACTCCTCTCCAGGACAGTCATGGCAGACCTGGCACTGCTTGAGTGCTGACTGTATACCACAGAGGATTCTCAGCCTTTCACAAGCGTTAATTCACTCTTACAGCCTACAAGGTCTGTGCTATTACTGTTCATATTTACTAGGAGAGTTAAACCACCTGCCTAGGGTCACCCTATTAGCAAGTGAGATGGTCTGGCACATCTGGCCACACAGTGCTCTGCCTTGCTCTTATACCACCTAATACTCCCTAAGGGTCAGACAATATCCAGTGGAATGGGTGTGCTCAATTTATTTTATCAGTTGCCTTCAGTGGTAGATATTTAAGTTTGTTCACATTTTACATCAACACTGCATGTAATAATCCTTGTATATACATTTTTGCACTGTAGGGTCAATTTCTAGACATCTAAGCATTAACTCAAAGGCTAACATATTTTTTTCCTTTTTTTTTTTTAATAAATTTTATTTTTATATTCCCCATACAATTGCAGCCCCCCCATTCTGACCCCAATCCCTCCCCTCCCACCCCCGCCCCCTAAAAGTGTCTCTGGTTCGTAGTTTTTGTTGATTTTGATTTTCACTTTCTTATAGTTATTCATTTTCCTATTTAAGTTTTCTAGATTCCTGCTATGAGTGAGACCATCCGGTATTTTTCTTTTTCTTTTTGGCTTATTTCGCTGAGCATGATCCCTTCCAGTGCCATCCATGTTGCTGCAAATTGCATGTGTTTATCTTTTTTGAATGCTGAGTAATATTCCATGGTATATATGTACCACATCTTCTTGATCCAGTCATCTATTTTTGGGCATTTGGGTTGTTTCCAAAGCTTAGCTATTGTAAACAGTGCTGCTATAAACATAGGGGTGCAGGTGCTCCTTGGAATTGATGTTTCTGTGTCCTTTGGGTAAATACCTAGGAGTGGAATTGCTGGATCATATGGAAGCTCTATGTTTAGTAGGTCCAGAAATCTCCACACAGCTCTCCATAGTGGTTGGACCAGTTTGCACTCCCACCAACAGTGCAGAAGAGTTCCTTTTTCTCCACACCCTCGCCAACATTTGTTGTTGCTAGTTTTTTTAATATGTGAAAGGCTAACATATTTAATATTTAGCTAGATACTTCCAAATTGCCCTTCAAGGAATGGTTTTTAAAATATTCTATTCTGGGGTCTCCCTGGTGGCGCAAGAGGTTAAGATACAGCACTTGAAGCTGTCTGCAGCCACTGCAGCCCAAGTTTGATCCCCGGCCAGGGAGATAACCCACATGGCGCAAGCAGACCTCTCCTGGCTCACCCGCTGCTCCCTTCAGCAGTGTATTTCAGTCAATCTGCCTGTTCTGTTCTCCGCTCTGTCTCTGGTGAATTCTCTCACCCCCAATACCTCTGGCCTGCACCTCTGTTCTTATGTGCATAAATAAATAAGTCTTAAAAAAATAAAATATTCTATTCCATTCTTCTCCCCTATTTATTCTTTCATCTACTGGCACAAATGGGCCAATCCTATTTGTATCTGGGAGCTTCTAGCCCTCTGTGCTTTATCTAGACCCCTTCTGGCTTTAAAAACTGTTGAGAGACTTCCTGAACTTTCAGTCATTGAACCTGGGTCTTTCAAAACTGGCCTCAGAGCAAAATGCTGACTGCATCCAGCATCCAGTTTTAACATCCAGCCAGCAGACTTTTCTAGGTCTTCACACAACTAACTGGTAACACGCTGTCAGTGGTGGTCAAGGCACCTTGGGGGCTGAAGCCTGAGTAGCAGACAGTAGGCCCCTGTCTTCTGTGAGACTGAGGGCTAAGAAAGGCCAGGTAGTGAGCACAGCATCTCTACAGCAGCAGAAGTGAGGACTGGAGCTTGGGTGAAGGATTTCATTAGAAACGAATCATCACTTACTGTCTGTGGGGCCGAGGCTGACGTTGGAGCCTGGCTTTTGCAGAGCTCTCAGCAAGAGATTGCAGCATGAGGTGGATGGAGGGACCAGGGCTCAGCTCCCACCCCTGTGAATTCAGGGACAGTTCTCCTAAGTAAACACTTTCTGTCTTTCCTAGGCTCACCAAAAATGAACTCAATGACGAAGCAGCAGAGAGCTTGGCAGAAATGTTAAAAGTTAACCAGACATTGAAACATTTATGGTAAGTCATTTCAGAATGCTAATTTTATTTATTTATTTTTGTACAAGAGCTGGGGTACAGGCCAGAGGCACAGGAGGGTGAGAGACAGAGTGGGGAGCAGAACAGGCAGAACAGGCAGAAGGACCGAAGACACTACAGAGGGCTGCTGCGCCATGTGGGAATCAAACTGGCTGACTGGGAAACGAACCCGCACTGCAGAGGCTGCGGACAGCTTCACAGTGCAGCGCTCAACCCGCTGCGCCTTTTTTTTTTTAACGATTTATTTATTTTTATACAAGAACTGGGGTACAGGCCAGAGGCATGGGAGGGTTACAGGATTCTCCAGACAGAGCAGGAAGCAGAACAGGCAGACAGACTGAAAGCACTGCTGAGGGGAGCAGCAGGAGAGACAGGAAAAGTCTGCCACGTCATGTGGGAATCGCCCTAGCTGGCCGGGAATCAAACCCACACTGCAGAGGCTGTGGACAGCTCCACAGCTCAGTGTTCAACCCGCTGTGCCACTGGGGAGGCCCCCACAATGCTACTCTTTAAAAATATTTTTAAAGAGAAAATTCATATACCACAAAGTTCACCCTTTTAAAGCTGCTCTAGTTGTTTTAGGGTAGTCACAAAGTTGAACAAACATCACCATTATCTAATTCTAGAACATTCTTATTTACCTCCCCTACTCCCTGAAAAATCCTGTGTGTTAAGCAATCCCACCCCATTCCCCTCCTCCAGCTTCTCACAACTACTATTCTGCTTTCTACCTCTATGGATTCACCTATTCTGGGTATCTCCTATAAATGGCATCAGACAATAAATGACCTCTTACCTGTATTCTTTCCTTAGCATGATTTTTCAGGGCTCATGTGTATTCTAGCATGTATCAATTCTTTACTGCTTCTCTTGGCAGTGATAACTAGTCCACATTTTGTATATTCATCAGTTTGTGGACAATTGGTTATTTCTATTTTTTGTTACGAATAATATCACTCTTGAATATGTTTTGGGTTTCTACTTAGGAATAGAAATGCTAGACAGACACGGTGAGATATAGACATGCATCTGTATAGATAGAAGGGTACCTATAGCTATATATATAATGGCATATATATCCTTATGTGCCTGTGTTCACACACACATACACACACACACATCCTAATGTCTACCATTATGCCAGAAACACACTGCCTTTATTATAACTCTAATAAGTTTTGAAATCAGGAAATTTGAGCCCTCCAATGTTGTTTTTGCTCAATTATTTTGGCTATTCTGGACCCCTTGCATTTCCACGTGAAATTTAGATCATCTTGTCAATCTCCATTTAAGTGATTGCTTTACTTTTACACACTTGGGATTTTTTCCCCTTTCTTTCTGGCCCACAGCTTTCTTTTATGTCCTTCCTCAGTGGCAGGCCGGCCCCTCTGGGAAAACAGAGGTAGAAGAGGGCTGGCATGTCTGTCGCTTTATGCATGGCAGCCCACATGCCCCGGTGAAGCTCCAGCGGGTACGTGGGCACATCAGCACCACCCGCTCTCTCACCCGCCCCCAGCAAGAAGAGGTGGTGTTAGTGGCAGCAACTCTGAAGGAAGTGATTAGAAAACAGCAGAGTTTAACTGAATACAGAGAACTCTGTGCCCACTTCCAGGTTCTATTTTTGCTCCCTTTGCAGAAAGGGCCACTAATGGTGGTCATGCATACCAAAGGTCATCATCTCTGCAACTGAGGCCAGGTTGGAGGGATGTGGCCAGGTGCACTGGGCTCCAGTGTGCTTGGCAGAAATGGTGACGACAGCTCCCTTCCACGGGGCTCCATGGGATATCATGAGTACCACTTTGTACACATCCTCCAACAGAAACTTCACACACTCAGTCTGGGGGCTCCATACTTATTCCTATTTTATCGGTGAGTTAATGGAAGCACAGATAGTTTATTTCTTTAAGAGAACTTTTAACCACTGTGCATACTACCTCTTTAAGGGGCAACCCCCTTCACAATTTCTACAGTCTCATCAGTCACGACGGCATAGGCTCTCAATTTCCTGACAGAGCTGCCTTCTTGGGTCAGTGCCCGGGATTTCTAAAGGTCAATTTCAGCAGTAGCTTTATGCTATAAATAACCAGGAATGAAGAGCAAGCCTTGACCTCCATTTATTTCCTGGTTGGGTTAGAAACATCACTGCCCAGGGGAGCATTTCAGGAATTTCCTAGGCTTCCCAGCGAGCGCTGAAAGCTTTGTCTTATCCAGCATAATGGAGTACTCTTAGAGCCCCCATTATCAGTGTTTTCCCACTGCGACACATGAGTGGCAGCAGGAGAACTCTCTCCTTGCTTGTTCCCAGAGAGAACGGTACCAGCTTAGAAGACTTTGTTTGCCTCCACGACAAGAACAGCCAGCGATAGCTACTTAACTTTAAAAAAGGCCTTGCCATTGCCTAGGCAGCCGGAGGGAGGCATCAGTGAGCCTGGTTCACGCTGTTTTTCCCGGATTGTCGTTCACTGGTGGTCCCCAACATTTTTCATTGGGCTCCCCCGCAATGAAAAGCTGTCAAGTGCAGACACATGTATGTTTGTGTATTAAACTATCTGTTATGAATACACAGATGTATTGTGCCCAAGGTTAGCATTTAGTCAGCTGGATGTGATCTAGAAAATTTTAGCCAGATTAAAAGTCACGTGGACTCAGTTCTTTCCCCAACCTTGTCTCTTACCCTACCCTCTTACCCTACCATGCCCTTAGAATTCCCTAATGGAGCGGGGAGAGTTAACCCAGTAGTATGTGTTTGATACATGACCACTTCTTCCTTCAGGCTGATCCAGAACCAAATCACAGCCAAGGGGATCGCCCACCTGGCAGATGCACTACAGAAAAACACTGGCATAATGGAGATTTGGTAAGCCCCACCCACCATTTGTTGCAGTAATAATGACAATTACTATTTACTCAGCACCATCAACTGTGTGCCAGGACAATGTAGAACAACTTCCATTTATTTCTCCTCTTTCCAACAATCCTATAAAGTAGGTGGCAACACCTCCATTATACAGATATAGAAACTGAAGCCTAGACCAAGGAAGGCCCCACTCAAGAAGAAAATGAGAATTGGGCCAGACTGCCTGACTCCGCGGTCTGTGCTCTCCTCCCAGCCCCCCTGTTCTGTCCGTCGTCCTTGCACTTCATGGGAGGCAAACAGCCTGAGGAAGGGATTCCACTGAACATGAATCACTGTGGGACTCGTGAGTTTGAGGGGTGGACATGCTGGCCTGGAGTTTGGGGCTTATTCTTCACATTTTCTGGGCTTCCTAGGCCTCAGGAGCTACTTCTAGGCTGGATGTGAGCTGACTTGTGCTATTACTCAACTTCCTGTTTCTGCTTTGCAGACCTGCATTTGCTAGTAGGTGGAAACCACATTATTCTGGGCCAGGAGAATGTGGGGGCAGGGGTGGATTGTCTGTTAATAACTACAGTTTCAGCACCAGGTTTGGTGCTGGTGAATGCAGGTGACAGGACAGTAAGGGCCCTGGCTGCTAAACCTCAGCTGAGAACAGGGACCCTGTGTCCCTCAATGCAGGGGCTGGGATTTGCTTTTGACTTCGGGCCTGAGACAGCCCTGCAGTGCGAGGCTGCCACTCAGTGAGACCCTGGCAGGGGCGGAGGCAGATTTTCCTTGAGGATAGACCAGAGGACTCCCACTCGCACTGTGATCCCTGAGGTTCACAGAGCAGCCTCCTGCCAGCTCCAGTGCTCAGCACGGGGGTTTTCATTAAATACTTACTTTATAGTGGGGAGAGAAATTTCATAGTCAAAAAATAAAAAAAAAAGTTGAGGCACAGCTTCCTGATCTCAGCTCCTAGAAATACATTCTTTAAACTTTCCTTTGGAACTTATTAGTAGATTATAAAATCTGTTGCTGAGTTGCAACCAGCATTATTTAAAAAGTGAGTGAAGAATGGGTACTGGAGCACTTAGGGCATGGTGGGAAGCCGGGCATAGTGTGCATGCACAGCTGCCCCCCAATGTAAAATGTAAGGGTTATGGTTAAAAAAAATTTTGAGAAATAGCCCTAAGATGAGTCCACCACTAATAAGTCTGCTAAGCTACAGCATGTGGCCCTGCACAGCCCAGCCACTCCTCAGCTGGAAGCCACTTGCCAGCTCATGGAATTTCAGTTTACTTTCATCTCCTGCCATGTACACCCCTCAGAATCTTTCCCTAGAACTTCCTGCTGATTGCTATCTGAGGGCGACAGGCAGGAGGGGGAGGAAGGAGGCAGGCCGTAGAGCAGTGTGCAGGTGACAGCTGGCCCCCACTTCTCTCGGGGTTGGTAGGAGAGTTGTGAGGATATGCAGCTGCATTAGTCCTGTCAAACTTGAAAATGTGCAATTGCTGCCTCCCAGGGAACACTTCCTGCAGAAAGAACTTTGTATAGGGTCAGGTGATTTTAACTTCAAGGTGTGCTGTCTAGAGCCTGAAGGATTCACTTGTGCCAGGAGCGGATTCAGAAAGAGGGCAAGTGCGAGGACATGGAGCTGGCCTGTTCCTGTGTGCGCTCACTTCAGCCCCTGACTTGCCCCGTGTGTGACTTTATAGCGCCAGGACTGGGCTCTGCGAAGGCCCCAGGCGCTACCACACCGGCAGCTGGGAGTGGGGCATGGGGGGTTGGCAGAGGAGCCAGATGAGGGAGCAGCTCTCCTCGAGCCACCATGGACATGTGGATCCATCTCCCTGGTAAAAGTAATATTTGCAGTGGCATTTTTTTCAACCTCATCCAAAAAACTTGAAGTCTGAATACCCTCAGTGAGTTCTGCTGCAGAGACAGTTCAGTGACCTGACGTCGTAAATAACAGCATTTATTACAGTCCATTGTAACAACATTTTGTGAGGCTGTCTTCTGCAAGCTGTGAGCTCACTGAGGGTAGGACCCACGTCCTGGTCACCGCAGTGTATCCAGGGACTAGTGCTGCATCCTCACATTTGTATATTCATCACCGAAGCCCCTGAGTGCTACCACCAAGAATCCACTGGTGGACAAAATGGCCCTGCCTGCATGGATTGGCCATCTAGTGAGAGAACCATCGGACAGTAAAGAAAAAAAAACATCCAAATAGTTATTTAATTACAATTATGATAATGTTATAAAGGGAAAAGCTAAGAAGGAAACCTAATACAAGATGCAGTTGCAGGGAAGGTCTCCCTAAGGAAGCAGCATTTAAACTAAGGCACGATGAATAGGAGTCGGTCCTGAGGTGGGAGGAAGTATTCCGGGGAGGGAGAACAAGGTATGTAAAGGTTCTGGGACATGGTGTCCTCAAACTGCAAGAAGCTGATGTGTCCTAGGTTCAGAAAGTGGAAGAGGCGGGCAAAAGGAAGCTAAGGAGATAGGCAGAAGCTAGCCCATGAAAGCTCGTGGGGCATATTATATATTTTGTTCTTTATCCTAAAGCAATGGAGAGTCACGGAAGGGTTTGGAGCAAAGAGGAATGTGATCAGATTTATCTTATGAAAAGACCACTCTGGCTTCTCCAGGAAAATGTATCTGAGCGGCTCAGAGACCCTGTAAAGGGCTGTTCCAGTGATCCAGAGAAGAGATGATAGTGATCTGACCAGGATGATAGTGGTAAAGATAGGGAGAGGTTACAGGAAGGAAGCCTAGAGGTGTTTAGGAGTAGAATACTTTGTGATTAACGGAATATGAGATGAGGGGAAGGTGTCAGGGTTGACCTCTAGGTTACTAACTTGTGTAACTGGGTGAAAAATGGTACTGAGCTAAGAATTTCCAGGGAAGTATAGCTACTTTGAGGTGCCTGGAAAGTCCAGATGAATATGTCAAGGAGCGGGGAGAAGAGAGCTGAACTGTCGGTCACTGACATAGGGACGAGGCCTTGGCATAGATGAGGTCTAGTGGGTAAAAGCACCCACTCTAAAGCATGGAGGAAATTCATTATTTAGAGACCAAATGGAGGAGATTGTGGGAAAGGAGACTGAGGAACAGTGAGTAGGAGAAAACCATAGAGAATGAAATCAAGCCAAGGTAAGGCAGTGTTTGAAGAAGAGAGTCAAGAAGGCCCATGCTTACCTCACGTGGACACAACAAATATAGAGCTAAATGTGGAATATATCCACAGATATAAGGGACAAAAGGACCACACCAAAAATGATGGAAGCAGACACAGTTTCACCAAGAAACCACATACCTTATGCAGTGACCCACATATGGAGGAACCTCACAAACATGGAACTCCTGTGCTTGAAGAGTGAGCAGTTTTTTTTGTTTTTTGTTTTTTTGTTTTTTTTGTGGGACCCTCGCTGGTGGCCGGGGAACAAACTGGCGCTGCAGAGGCTGTGGGCAGCCTCGTAGCCCAGCACTCAACCGCTGCACCACCAGGGGAGGCCCAGGAGTGAGTTTTGCCCCATATCAGGCATCACAGCCCTTGGTACATGCATTGGAGCACAGACTCCCCCACCCCCAAAACATCTAGCTTTGCAAACCAACAGGATTTGGAACCAGGACCGAGACACAGTGGGAAAGGGAGAGTTTGCATTAAAGGGCAGATGCACATGCTCACTCACCCTGGGGCCCAGAGAAAAAGCTGCAGTTTGAAAAGTGCTGATGTCATACATGAAGGGGGTCTTATCAATTAATCTTAGAGTGTCTGTCAGGAGAGCAGGGGTCTTTTGGAAACCTCTCTGATAATAGTGGCACTGACAGACACATTTTGAGCTTATACTCTTAACTAGGCTAGAGCCTGTATACTTGCCCAGGGAATGCAGGTCGGGGAATACTCTTTGCATTTGCCCTTGACCTCACTACAAGTCACCTGTACTACCCAGAATGGAGAGTATCCACTCATCTAGAACTCCCAATTCTTGCAGCTGTCTTCAAGGGGACACCTCCATGTTGTTGCTGGGTCTGGAGGCTGGCAGGGTTTATGACTGAGAACCCACAGGGCCATACATGCTGGCATACTTTAAAAGCTGACACCTGGGCCTCCCTGGTGGTCATACAGCGGGTTGAGTGCAGGGCTGTGAAGCTGTCTGCAGCCTCTACAGCGTGAGTTCGATTCCAGGCTGGCCAGGGAGATTCCCACATGGTGCAGCAGACCTCTCCTGTCTCGCCTGCTGCTCCCCTCAACAGTGTTTTCTGTCTGTCTGCCTGTTCTGCTCCCCGCAGTCTCTGGTGAATCCTCTCACCCTCCTGCACTTCTGGCCTATACCCCAGTTCTTGTAAAAATAAATAAATCTTAAAAAACAACAACAACTTAAAAGCTGATACCTGAGGGTCTGGCCTTTAATCTGAAACTCAGAGCTAAAAGAAATCCTCCCACCTCTCCCTAACCGCCAACTTGGAACACTGACAGGTTTTGGTACAACTTCAACAACAAAGGCCTATGAAGAATAAATTAGGATGTTGAGACAATCACAAAAGTTCAAGAGACAACCAAAAAATAGGGCACAGTGGAATGATAATGTTCAATACATAGATAAGGACATTCTTTCAAGACTGGGAGAAGCCATACCAAAATGACTTCTTTTGCCTAGTACACAGAAATAAATACGGAGTTAAGCAAAACTACAAAATAGAGAAATGAAATTCCAAATGAAATAAGGTAAAACCTCAGAAAAAGACCTTAACACAATAGAGAGAAGGAGTCTGTCAGATAAAGTACTCAGAGTCATTGTTCATAAAGATGCTCATCAAACTCAGGAGAAGAAAAGGTGAATAATGTGAGAATTCAAACAAAGAGAAGTAGCAACAGAAGTCACAGATAACTAAGCTGAAAAATACACACACACAATGGAATATTATACAGTCATGAAAAAATGTTAGGGTATTTTTGGACACTTGCGACAACATGGATGAATCTTGAGGGTATTATGCTAAGTGAAATAAATCACATAAGGACAAATACTAGATAATTTCACTTATACACAAACCCTGAAAAAGCAAATAAGAGTCAACAGATTGATGGGTTACCAGAGGGGAGGAAAATGGGGGTAGGTAGGTGAAATGGGCGAAGAGTATCAAGCCATACAAAACTCCAGTTTCAAATTAAGTAATAAGGGGACTATAATCAATAATATTATATTGCAAATTTGAAAGTTGCTAAGATAGTAAATAGTCTTAGTGATGACCATGGAATAGTGTACACAAATGTCAAATCAATGTGTTGTACACCTAAAACAAAAATAACTATATTTCAGAAAAAGGAAAGGTCAGGACAGTTAAATGCTGTGAAGGTCAAGAAAGAAAAGTCCTGAAATTGTCATGAAATTCAGGTTTACAGAGGCTACTGGTTACCTTAGTGAGATTCAGTTCATAGGGTAATTAATGGTTGCTGGAAAGGATTAACGTCCACATCAAACAGGTACTTGAATAGAGCACGCACCTTAATTTCCTGGTCACATGAAGCACAAGGGCATTGGGAACCCATACTGGGAAGAAGAAGGCAGCAGTTGCTTATATTTTACCTGTGTTGTTTTTCTCCAATAGCCTAAATGGGAACTTGGTAAAGCCAGAAGAGATCAAAGTCTTTGAAGATGAGAAGAGGATTGTCTTTTTCTGAGCAGACACTTTACTGTGTGTGGGTCTCAGCCTAGGAGGCCGTTGTGGAGGAGACAGAACTCCAGGCACCTGCCTAGTGTTGAGCATCTGGACGGGTCTGCTGAGTCGGGGCTGCCCCAGCGCACTGCCTTTGTGATGCAAAGCAGCCTCCATGTGGACACTCTGATTGGCAAACTCCAAGGAGCTATTACAATTTTTCAGGAAAAATGCCCAGAAAGTGTGTCTTTAACTACTGTAAATATATTATGAAGATATGTTCATATGTGTTCATGATTTTTATCAAATACATTATTTTATCAGAAACTAGAAGGATAAGACTTGAGCTCATGCCAACACCTGCTCTAAGGACCCCTGGGTGTGGATTGGACACTGTGGTCTCCAGTGAAGTGTTGAGGACATGGTGCCAAGTTAGTGCCCTGGCTTCTTCAAGAAAAGGAGCCCGACGAACAAGTATCTTACCTGAAACATTCTCTTCCTCCTCAGTACCTGCTCATGTGTTGATATTATTTCTACTTCACTGTAGATACCGAGTTGTTTACAATGTGAAGATTTGACTTATTCAAGGTTTTGTAGCGAGTTGGTGCCAAGAAAAGGGCTAGTCACAGGCTTTTAGTTCTTGTGTTTCACACCTGCAGATAAAGTTCACTTGAAGCCCTTTGAGCCGGTCTAAGAGAAAGGACAATGCTTTCCAAATGGTGAAAGGCGTTCACATAATTAGGCTGACCTCTTCTGAAAGAAAAATACTACGGGCAAAGGTGTTCTGCCCCGGGAGACAAATCAAGGCCTGTCCTCTGAAAGGAGTAAGGCGTAGCTTGCCTTTGTGGTCCTGGCATCCAAACAGACTCTGTCTTCTTGTCCTCTTCTTGCCCAACTAGTTGAGAGGGTGACTGAGCTAGAGCCAAGACTCAGGTTGCTGCTGAGAAGCTGGATAGCTTGTCAGATGCTTATAGACATGGGGGACACTAAATGGGGGTTTGGGGTGGTGATAAAAGCAGATAACTTGTTCTTTTGCCAGTTGGTTTGTTAATAAAATGCTGAAACATTCTAAATGGTTGAATCTGGGATTTCTTAAAAGGCACTAGGCCTGGTAAGCATGCTGTGAACCCCAAGCCCCAGGCCTGACTCCCTCAGATGCACGCCCTGTATTAGGTGGTAAGAGGAGAACCTAATGGAGTGAGGGCAGAGGCTACTACAACAGTTTGATCCTTTGAAGGCCTTTTTACTGGCCAAGTGATCAAATGAAGCCAACGCAGTATGGAGCCCACTCCATCTGATCTCCAAATCCAAATAGGTAGCACCTCAGAGGAAATGATTTGTGAGCCAGTGGTGAATGACATCAGGATACATTGGCAAGGGTCAAATTCCAGGTAGGCCTGGAAGGTTGGATTTGATATGCATTGTCTTCTTTGCCTGTTCACTGCCGACTGGAAAACCCAGGAGAGCCTGTCCTCCACTGTGGCAAGAACTGAACTGCTAGGGGCCAAGTGTGAGAAGGTTCTCCAACAGTACCTTCGAGTTTCATCTTGCCTTTGCACAGCAGCCCATTAGGAAGGGCGCAGTTCTGGAAGTTGGCCCTGTACATTATGGGGCAAGCCCAGTCATGCAGCAATATGGGACCGTTGCCCTAGGTACTGCTTTGGTGGTTCTGCCACTTTGGTGGTGGCTATTCAACCACCCCTGGAGGCAACAACTCTCCCAACCACAAAATCAGGGCAGCAAATATTATGCCTAAAAGACACAAAGGAACGAGATGGAGCTGAAGTCCAAAGGTGCCTGGAACTGACTTCAGGCTTACCAAGTTAAAGAACCACACTTCTCAAGTGACAAAACTCATGCTAAATCACTAAACTTCAGAAATAAAAGTTTACTTAGAAACTACCAAGCATTACTGCCCTTAGAGACTATCAAAATTAAAATAAAGTTGCTGACTCTAAATGAATTAGAATGTCTGTTGGTCCTGGCTTAAACTCCACGTGGAAATACTTTGTTCTTACAGATGCTGAATGACAGAGCTTCTATTTATCTCATAAAAGTTCAGGCTACTAACTTGCTGGAAAGTTTCTCCACCACACATGGGTGAGGTTCTAAGCAGAAAAGTGCAGTCATTTCCTAATGAAGAAAAAAAAAAAAAAGAATTCTAGAAACTATTTCTTTCCACAGGACTTCAGACCTGCATTTATGGCATATTCACGCTGATTTGGAACTTCCTAGGAAAAATAAAAAAGTCATGTCAAGTTACTGTGTAGCACTGGTCCAGTCCTACGATATTGGAATCTCAATTTTCCCCTTAAAAAGAGGCAATCCAAGGGCCTCCCCAGTGGCGCAGTGGTTGAGCGCTGGGTTGCGAAGCTGCCTGCAGCCTCTGCAGCGCTGGTTCGATCCCCGGCTGCTCCCGGGCCACCGGAGGAGGGTCCCACATGGCGCGCAGACCTCTCCTGCCGCCCGCTGCTCCCCTCAGCAGTGTACTTCGGTCCTTCTGCCTGCTCTGCTCCCCGCTCTGGCTCTGGTGAATTCTCTCACCCTCCCGAGCTTCTGACTGTGCCCAGTGCTTGTATAAATAAATAAATAAATCTTTAAAAAAAAAAAAAAAAAAAAAAGAGGCAATCCAAGCATAGCGTCGTCCAGCATTCTGCTGCAGGGAAGGCAGCTGGTACAATCCCAAACACAGGGTCCCAGCTCAATGTGCTCTAGTCTACACAGCCATTATTTCTCATTTTCACTCACACTGCAAGCTCTCACTTTGGGGGAACACCCCAACAAGGTCAAATACGGGGCTGGAAGTTCTCAAATATTCAACATCAAGCTTCCTGCAATATCCAACCTTTGTCAGTGACGAGCTTAGACAGTAGTTTTCATTATTACTACCAAGGATCCCCACTACTTAAGCGTCACTCTCTGAGCAGAGGTGCATCTGTTTTCACTGCACAGTAACAGAACAGGGCAGGAGCCTGCACCAGCTCCTGGAGGTAGCTTGCCGAGCCCTCGTCAGACATCCCTTTCAGTTTCTGGCTGGACAAGAGCATCTGACTTGGCCTGTGGCTCCACTGGGTCACTCCAGGTGTGGTGCATGTCTGTTTCTAGTAATGAATTGCTCACTTACAGAAAAAAAATAAACAAACAAACCTTGAAGTTGTAAAGTAAAACCATGACCATTACCACAATCCATAAGAGAAAAATTTTAATGTAAGTGGAATTAGCTCCTGAGGAGGCCGAGGCTCATGTTACCACACAGATGGACTTGCAGCAGAGCTGCGGGGCCCAGGCGCCATCCCAGTGTCATTCTCTCAGCCTTAAAATCGAATTAACTGAATCCAATACCAGTTTAAAACTTTTAGAGGCACTAAGCACTGAAAAGATTATGGGTCCCCAATGATCTGTAATAAAAAAAAATTAATAGTAAATTAAAAGCAAGTGCAAGGATGTTAAACAAGTCTGATTCCCCCCCACCCCGTGACTACTTTGTTTTTTAGCAAGTGACAAATACCTCAAAGATTTTCCCTTAAATGCAAATCAAAACTACCATGAGATACCATCTTACACCAGTGAGAATGGCACATATTAAAAAAACTGGCAACAACAAATGTTGGCGAGGGTGTGGAGAAAAAGGAACTCTCCTGCACTGTTGGTGGGAGTGCAAACTGGTCCAACCACTATGGAGAGCTGTGTGGAGATTTCTGGGCCTACTAAACATAGAGCTTCCATAGGATCCAGCAATTCCACTCCTAGGTATTTACCCAAAGGACACAGAAACATCAATTCCAAAGAACACCTGCACCCCTATGTTTATAGCAGCACTGTTTACAATAGCTAAGCTTTGGAAACAACCCAAATGCCCAAAAATAGATGACTGGATCAAGAAGATGTGGTACATATACACTATGGCATATTACTCAGTGTTCAAAAAAGATAAACACATGCAATTTGCAGCAACATGGATGGCGCTGGAAGGGATCATGCTCAGCGAAATAAGCCAGAAAGAAAAAGAAAAATACCGGATGGTCTCACTGATAGCAGGAATCTAGAAAACTTAAATAAGGGACCAGGAAAATGAATAACTATAAGAAAGTGAAAATCAAAATCAACGAAAAACTATGAACCAGAGACACTCTATGGGGGGTGGGGGGCGGGGAGGGGAGGGATTGGGGTCAAAATAAGGGGGTTGCAATTGTATGGGGAATATAAAAATAAAATTTATTTTTAAAAATAAATTTATTAATTAAAAAAAGAATTATTCTAAAAACAAAACAAAAAAACATTTTTCCCTTGATCTTTTTCTGCCAATGCATTTTTGTTGTACATGTTAAAGAACAATTTTGATAATGATGCTTTTAGTAATACAATGCAAACACAGTTATTTTAATTTCTGCATGTCATCTTTCTGTGTTTTCCCTACTTTGAGACATTTCCCCCCAGTTTTTATAACTGTGATAAAATACATTTATAATTTGCCATCTAAACCACTTAAGTGTATGTTAGTGGTGTCGAACACATTCAAAATGCTGTGCCACCATCACCAGAACTCTTTTCTTCATGTAAAACCAAAACTCTGCCCATTAAACAATAATTCCCAACTCTTTCCTTCTCCTGGCTCCTGATAGCACCCCTCTACTTTATTTTCATACAGAGTTTGACTACTCTGGGTACCTCATATAAGTGAATCACACAGTATTTATCTTTTTGGGACTGACTGGCTTATCTCACTTAGCATAAGGCCTCAAGGCTGATTCATGTAACATGTAAGGATTTCCCTTATTTTTTTTTAAGGCTGAATAATATTTAAAGATTTCTCTGTATATAGTTTTAATTAAAGTATACAATCACAAGCAATTCTTTCACTTTCCTACAATGTTAACCTTTAAAATTACCATTTGTATTCTATTAGTTGGATAATCTGTTTAAATATGTTCCGAATGTTAGACATTTAGGTTTCCAGCTTGGTGTGGTGGAATAAGATTATCAAGTCAAACATTCATGCTATGAAATTTTCTTTTTCAACTTGTGTTCACCTGTTTTGGAAACAGAGTATTATGTAACGCCCAGCCAATTGTATTTGCCTTGAATAGGAATAAAACTCCCTGCCTCCTACAACATCTTAGACAGTGTTTAGCAGCGCCCCCTCCCCAGTGCCCACAACACACAGATATGTTACAGCTACAGATTGGCACTGGCAACAACTACAACTGCTTGAAGGCATGAATAATCCATAATTGGACATCTGTTTAAAAGTGATTCTATGCACTTTTAAATTGCTATTAGTATGCAGATATCATCAAAATCAGTTATCTTTGATTCTAAAAATCTATATATTTGTGTTAAAAGCCCTTGCTCTGCTTACACAAACCCAATCTAACTCATTAACATTGGTTCAAATGGAAATTACTCTCCCCAATAACCCTATGAAGTAGGAATTTTTTTATGAATGAGGGAACTGAGAACTAGTATTGATCTGTATCTTGTCTTATTAATCAGGATGTGCGTAAAATTGGGGGGAAAAACAAACCCCTTTAGCAAAGGATTTTTGGTACACAAAGAATATTGCACCTGGCTTAGCTGGGATTCTGCGCTCACTTAGTTAAAATCCCCTTACTCCAAACTGGAAACTTGTGTGGGAGAACAAAAGCACCTTGCTCAAGGTCACACACTTCACTACTGGTAGAACAAGAACTAGAACACAGGCCATTGGCTGCTTTTATTTTCTCTGTGTTCTGATAAAGCTTTGTGACCTTTAGTTCATTTCTGCAACTGACTTCCCGCCAAGTCCATTAAACTGATCCCAGTCCTGTAGGGCAAGTCAAAGTGAGCTCTTCTTGCAAGGACATATATGGGATCACTGTAGTATCTCTGGGATTCTTCAAGAATCCTGATCTTTTCTCCTCTATTCATGGTGGTAAAAGTTACAGGACCCTGGAGTCACCTTTACAAGCCTCACTGCCTGAGCTCTGCAATGCTAGGGACATCCTGGCAAATGTCAGGTGATTAAAAAGTCTGACTCTACAGAGGCAATGGCTTTGTTGCAGGCCATGTACCCTCCATGCCCCAGCCACGCAAATGGACCAATGGAAGTATGATGCAGAGGGCTGGAGGTCATATTTGGATGATGTTGATCACAAGAGGGCAGCATGTGTCCAACAATTCATCCAGTATGTAAGGACTAGAGGGATTCAACTGTATAGGGGCCCTGGAAACAGACACATTGTTTGAGTTAAGTAAGACTCAAGTCAAAGTACAAGGTATTGAAAGCAATTTCATCTTCAATCCATCCATAAGTTCAAAGACATTGGCAAGTGGGGATAATTGGCACTAAGACACTACAGAGCAGTGTCAGGGCAAATTCTCTGAATGTTAAGGATCTGGGTTCATGTCCCAGCACTGCCAATAGCTGCATGACCTTGGGCAAGTTACTTAGCTGTTCTGTGCTTTCATTTTCCATCCACACTGCTAGTGCTCCTCATGCAGGGATGTTTGGTTGTGAGGAGTAAATTAATATATGCAATGCACTTTAAACAGCATCTGACAAGTAACAAGGGCTCTAAAAGCAGTAATTCTTGTTATCAAATCGGAACTTTTCCTCCAGTACTGCCTTAGGCATGAGGAATAAGAGAAAGAAGGGGACCTTGCTGGGGCATCCTTCCTGCCCCTTCTTTAAGATATTTCTATTCTCAAACTGACAGCAAAATCTGGATGAATAAGCAGCTCAGAATCCAGAAGCCATTTCCAAGGCTTCTGGCTTCTGTGGGTTAAGAACGAACTATTCCCTATACTTGAAAATGTCTTCTTTTTTTTTTCATTATTATATTAAGGCATTGCATATCCAGTTTGTATGCAGACTAGGACAGCCAAAAGCCAATTTGCACATCCATTTGATTCACAAATTTAGAGTACATTATCTGGCTTACCACACTAAAAGCATATGGCAGAAGGTCATTTCTTTCTCTGATGTCAGCTCGGATCTCTGTTCCCAGCAGTCTTTTTATTCACTCATTAACTGATTCCCCTGCCTGCAGAATAAATGAATGAGTCTTGAGAGTCAGCGGGAGAAAAGAGCAGGAAGGGAAGTACAGAATAGAACAACTTGGGAGGGTGGATGAATTAAGCCCCAGAAACCTGGCTCCCGCCCACATTGTACCCTCCTATTGCTGTGCCCAGGAACTGGCCCTATGTGCTGGGGCCATCAGGCCAACATCTTGGGCACAAAGGTTCTATGGAGTCAGTAGCTCATGATGTACTAAGCAGCTGAGGGGAATGCTCAAGCTGCCCACTGCTACTTTGAGATTTCCCGTTGGGTACTCACTTACTAGGCACTGTGGAAGATCTTTTTCCTTCTGCTGAGAGAGTGCACTTACTTCCAGTTAATATTTTCCCAGGTGAATCTATTCATGGTAAACAAAATCATCCATTTGAATCAACTTGTCTGCTGTTTCTCAACCTTTTTTTCCCCCCATTATTTTCTTTTTAAGCCCCCCCTCCCACCATGAAATTCTACCACCACAAATATAATAATTCTGTTTACTTTGGCCCTTTGGAGAGCCACAAACCACTGAATATGTAAGTTCCTTTTTGTTCCCCAAGAAACAATTTTACCCCTTAAGAGTATTATGAATGCTGGGTCTAGTTAAACCCTAGGTAATTCTTGTCAACTTTGCCATCTCCAAGTATCCCTCTCATTTAATGGCTATCTGTTTTCATGCATTATTCAGCTCCTGAGTCAATACATCCTAATAGTTATAAAATTAACATTCTCATTCTCCCTTTTTGCTCTTTTGTTCTGAAAATCATTTTAATCTATGTGCAAAAACTTGGCTTATGTTATTTAAAAAGAAAGGCTTTATAAAGGGAACATGTTGTCCTAACAGGGACAGTTGCTGTCTGAAGCACTCTGGCACCAGCAGCTTCAGAGCTGAATTTCCTTGAGTGTCCCCGGTTACTGCCACATCTTTGGGTAGAACTTGAGGCTGACCAAATTTGCCCTTGCTTTTGTCCCACTTCATTTTTTTACTTCCTGGTTCTCCTACCCACACTCTCACCCCCTGCATGGGGCCCAGGAAATGTCCAGAATTCCCCTTCAGAAACAGAACTCAGGTCTCTGTCTGCCCTAGACTGCCTACCTCCCACGTCAGCCCTCCCCACACAACGCTGCTCTGCTAAGCTCAACTAGCTATCAGGACATTACACCAGTTCAAGTAGTTCAAAATAAAATACAACTAATAGGATTACCGCTGCCAGACAATTTACGATGTATTTCACAATAGAAGCTGACTGATCAAAATATTCTCCAATTAGACAATAAACCTAGAGAAACCTCAGATCAAATTAATCTTCATGTCTCCTCAGCTATCTCCCACAACTGCAGGGTAATTCTAGAATGAGGTTGGCTTTTCTGAAAGTATTTTTTTTTTTTAAGATTTATTTATTTATTTATTTATTTATACAAGCACTGGGTACAGTCAGAAGCTTGGGAGGGTGAGAGAATTCACTACAGCCAGAGCGGGGAGCAGAGCAGGCAGACTGATGAAGTACACTGCTGAGGGGAGCAGCGGTTTGCGGCAGGAGAGGTCTGCGTGCCATGTGGGACCCTCCTCCAGTGGCCGGCGAGCAGCCGGGGTTTGAACCAGCACTGCAGAAGCTGCAGGCAGCTTCGCAACCCAGCGCTCAACCGCTGCACCACCGGGGAGGCCCTCTGAAAGTATTTGATCCTTGCAATGTTTCAAGCAGAACTGAGCAAGTCCGTTCATTTGCCCATCCATTTCACAAATAAATATGGAGCACCTACTTCATGTCAGGCACTGTACTTGTTGCCAGGAATATAGTGGTTAGTGTCATCACTGGGATGACACTTTCGCTCTATTTACAGTTCAGTAAGTTATACTGTTATTGTTTCATGGATGTTTGGCATGAGACTTGACTTTTGGGTGAGAAACAGAACTTCATTATTCACAAACCAGAAGCCAGTCAATGGAGGATGAAAAGGTTTCAATAAAGAGGTTATAGTCAACATTGTTAGATGTTTTTATAAGGTAAAAAGGTTAGTCCTGAAAAATTCCCATGAATTTAGTGATATGGAGGTCATGATCACCTTAATAACAGCTTGCTAAGGAACCCAAATGACAGCAAGGAACCCAAATGGAGTGGACTGAGAAGACGAGGGCCCCTTTCAAGCAGGATGATGTAAAGGAGAAGAGACAGGACAGTAGCTCAAAGAGGTCATGGAGTTGAGAGAGAATTATGTCATTTGATTTAACAGAAGAAAGAGATAAATGTTAATGGGAAAGATGATAACTGGGAGGGAGAGGTAAGTGTAGGAAAGAGGCAGTAGTTGAGAATGTGAGGCTCTTGGGAAGATAAGGTAGGCTGGGGTTTTCATCATAGATGAGTGCATTTCACACAGGAGGAAGAGCTTACCATGAAAAGAGCAAGAAAGGAGAAGACAGGTGCAGAATAGATGGCTTATGAGGTCAGGAGTAGGATGTTGATGACTCTCAATGTCCAGGGTTAACGCAAGCCTCTGTTAAATAATCACCTCCAGAAAAGAGGAGAGCAAGAACACATCAGAGTAGAATATATTTCTTCTAAATGTAAAAACGTTTTTATAGGAGGGCTTTTGCCCATTTCAATTTCTTGCAAGTTTGGAAACAAATGGTATTAAGTGAGGAGCATTTGTACCTTCCCCCAACTCCCAGTCCTCAGGATGAAGGCTCCAGGGCCTACCATCACTGACCACAGGGAAGAAGTCAGTGACACCAAGAGATTATTATAATTATGGTCAACTCCCACAAAAGGGTCATAGTACTCAGACCCTCTTCTAATCATATGTATATGCCCTCCCCTCGCCCCTCCATGCTGCTCATAATAATCTTATGAGGTTGAGGAAACTGAGTACAGAGAATTGAAGGGAACTTTCCCAAGTACACACAGCAAGAGAGATGGCAGATATCCCCACACAGGCAGTCTGGCTCCAGAGTTGATGTATTTAACCACTTATGCTGTGTTGCTACCATTAGGAAGAACTTGATCATGAGATAACCACAGATGAGTAGAGGCAAGAGAACCTAAAGGGAAAGACGTGGGAGACACTAAGTGAAGATGGGAGGGTGGGGAGGAAGCAGGAGTGAAAAGGAGAATGGGAGGCAGTCTGAGAGAAGTGGGGAAAGTATTTCTATGCTTCCTCCAAATTTTTATTATGAGCGATTTCAAACCTATAGAAAACTTGAAATAATACAAATGAACATCCACATACTATATATATTAACAAGTATTAAGGTTTTACCAGATTTTTCACTCTATATTTTAGTGTTTCTTTCTTTTTGCTGAAGCATTTGCAAGCACATTATATACCTCATGAGACTTTATGTTCATACTTTAGCATGCATCTCCCAACAGGCAATTTCCTACTAAACCTAAATTTATGGCATATTAATAAATACTTCATTCTTTTAAGTCTGAAGAGTAAAAAATGAAATTGTCAGTTATACCTCAATAAAACTGGAATTAAAAAAATAATTATGGGGTTTTAAAAAATATCCTGCGCTGGGCTCCAAGGACTTTAGTCTACTTCATTTGATCCTCACAGGAACCCAATGAGGAAGACTATGGTAATTATTTGCATTTTATATATGAATAATTGGAGGCACTAAGTAACTGAATTACCCAGGGTCACAAACTTCACAAGCAAAAGTGACAGAATTCAAATCTGGGGATTCTGGCTCCAGAATTCACCAGGCCTTTAACTATCATCCTACTTCTCAAGTCGATATTGTCAAGAGATAAAACTTCGCTCTGAGCAAAGGAAGAAAAGATTCTGCTTTTAGGGGTGATTCAGTGTGCCATAAATAAAGGAAAAGTTAAAGGAATGCAAGGAAGTATTAAATTAATAACACTTATTTACAAGTTACTCTAAATAAGGGTAAACATAGTTTAGCCCTTTAAAGACTGCTTTAGTTAAGAAGTAAGGATTTGGTTACAGATCCATAGGACCTTGGAAATGGAACCCATTAAACCTTAGGCAAAGGAGACATCTTAATTTGGACCAGACGCTAAAATGTCCCCACCATGAAATGAATCTTTCTTACTTCTTTAAACATCCACCAAACATGAATTTAGAGTCCTTAAAACATATACCAAAAATGAATCTTATTCATTTCTTTAAATGCCAATTCTACTAACTTTATGATATATTTCATTCTCATAAACCTGAAATATAATTTTAAAATAAAACTACTATGATTTTTCTTAAAGCCAACACTGTTATTAGAACTTGACTCACAGATCATGAAAGCAATCTCATAGCTGGGCTCTACATGACTAAGATGTTGTATTTATGTGAATAATTTGCCTTAATTTGTGCATTAGCACTATGATTTGTATGATAGATTGTACATGTTCCCCAATAAGCAGTATTATCCTCTGCCTATGCAAACTGCAATGGAAAACATTGGGAAAAACATGCGAGCAAGAAGCCTGAGAAGTACTTGTAATCAGGGCTCGTCCTCTTTTCCTGCTGAGAATCCTTCCACCATTGTGTGAATAATCCCAGCAAACCTGCCAGAGACATGTGGCCCAGCTAGCAGTCAGCAGGTATCTTCAGAAGTGTTAGTGAAGCAATACTAGACCAACCAGCCCCCAGCAGGTCCACCTGCTGGTTGTAGCTGCATGAACAAGTACAGGCAAGAGCCTACGTTTCTGACTCACAGAATCATGAGTTAATTAAGCAGTGTTTGAAGTCACTAAATTTTAGGGTGGATGTTTAACCAGCAAAGGGAAATTGAAACAGGACACAAAAATTAAGGTAGGCTAACTGTTGTAATAAATATACTCTCAAATACATAATGGCTTAAATACAAGAGTTTATCTACCACTCATATAAACAGTCCAAAGAAGTTTGAGATTGGCAGCTGGGGACTCTGATGCAGTCATTCAGCTGGGGGGCCACTTTCAGTTTTTGCCATCTTCAACGGTGTGGTTTTCAAGCTCACATCAGTTATTATAAAGCAGAAAGCAAAAGCAGAGGACAGCAAGTGGGAACTTTCACTGCGCCCACTCAAGAAGCAGGGCTTATCTTTTCTACTCACATTTCATTGGCTGTAGCCAAATCACATAAAAGCAGGCCTAACTACACAGATGGAATTGAGCCGTGTCTAGAAAGATGCGCAAACTGCTTCACGTCACAGAACTGAAAAACCAAAACATGTAAGGTCCAAAAAGTCAGATCCAGCAGGGCATAATTGGAACAAACATTGAGGGCTAGAAAGATCTGAGGGGGGATTCAATTACATACTTATTAACTCTGTAATGTGAAAAAATTACCTAACCCATGTAAATCTGTTTTTTTTAATCTACAAGACAGAGAAATTACCAAGTGAAGTACTCGGTAGTGTCTTGCATGTGATAAACATTCAATAAATGGTGGCTATTAGCATTATTATGATAACTAAATTGAAGGGTGTGCAAGACAAATCAAAGAGTATGGAGAGAAATAAAGAGTAATACTGAGTGATGCAGACAGCAACAGTATTAGTCATGACACTCCCAAAAGTCTAACTTGGACCAATGTTATCACAAAAGGAGGGGATTTACTAGGAGGATAGAAAGATAGGTTGTGCCTCTCAACATCAAAGGAAAACTGGAACCTCTTTCAGGAAGTTAGAGTTTGAACGTCTTCACATTACATGCCCACTCAGATCTCCACCTCACTCTCTTCAATTACAGACACACCTTTGTCATGTTCAACAGCCTTCAGAATTTCTGGTTTTTAAATGGGATAATGGAACTGTGGTTGTTTTAAAATAGTATCTTTGATACATATAAACTGAAGTATTTATAGATGAAATTATATCAGGGTTTTATTGTAAAATACTACATTTTACTAATCAATACAGCTGGGGAAGGGATGTGGAGCACAGACTGGCTAGCTGAAGGAGAGGTGCGTGCCTGAGAGCTCATGATACTCTTTATTTTTAAATACATTTGAAAATTTCCACTAAGTAAACAAAGGAAAACAAAAGCTAGAAAACAAATGTCTAAGACTGACTCAGCTTATCTTACATCACATTTATTGGCTATGATTTTCTGCTTTGGTGAAAACTTTATGTACCTAAAACAGAAACACAGTCATGATGGACATTATCATTTGTCTACAGTCTTTCTGGATTTTGAGAGAAATAGTTAAAATGATACAGAGAAATTATGATTTGCCAGGGTCAGATGAACTCAACTAAAAGTTTTTTCTTGACCTACTGACTACTGGAACACTTCCCCACTCTCCTCACATCATACTATTTCAAGAAAGCAGTTATTCTGGCAGTATTTTCTTCAAGCACTGCCATATTTCAGAGAGACTCAGGAGAGATCAGGACAAGGACAGCAAAAATTATGAACCAACTTTCTAGTGATGGAGATAATATAAGCTTTCAGAGTAGCTGGATGTGTACACTGAGGGTATCTAATCAGAATCTGCAGCATGGAAGTCCTCTGGCCAGCTGCATAATATAAGAGGAGTAAGACTGATTATTCTTTCTTTCTCCTAAGATGTATTTTCAGAAGGAAAAAATCAATTTATCTTTATTCTCTTTTTATTACACCCAAGATGTGCTTAGATTTTATAATCATGTTCTATGTACAAGCCGATCTCACCCATTATATTGACCACATAAAACAATGAGAACCAAGGGGAAAGATATCAACAACCTTAAGAAAAAAATGCTAGGGATACAGGGAACACATTTGTTGACCACAATCCGGTACTCTGGCCAAAGAGTATATTTGGCATATAATTTCTACAGAAATATCTTTTTCAACCAGTCTCTACTCAAATCATGCTGCTATTCCCAAATCAGATTTTTAATTTTCACAAGTATGGCAGCAATGGATACCACAGTATTTCCCACCTCACAGACCTTTAAAAAAACACAGTGTAACACTGACACTTCTCTTCATTAGATGGTAGGTGATGTCTTCTCCCTGTGCTCCTGTGTCAACTGGTTATTATGGCAGTGACTCTGATTTAGAGACAAGATCACAGAAAGGTCATGCATTTTCTGCCTTGCTTTATTGGGACAACTACTCTTGGAACCAAGTCACACCATTGTGAGGAAGTCACGTAGCTGTGTGGACATGCAAATAGTCCCAGCTGAGGCCCTAACCGACAGTCAAAATCAGCAACCAGACTCAAGTTACTGAGCTTTCAGTTGACTCCAGTCCCTACCCTGTGTCACTGTCAACTCTAACTGAACCTACGTCTCTGCCAAACCCAGCCAAGCGCGGGAGGGTGAGAGAATTCACCAGAGCCAGAGCAGGGAACAGAAAAGGCAGAGTGACGAAATACACTGCTGAGGAGAGCAGCGGGCATGGCAGGAGAGGTCTGCGAGCCATGTGGGACCCTCGCCGGTGGCCGGGGATTGAACTGGTGCTGCAGAGGCTGCGGGCAGCTTCATAGCCCAGCACTCAACTGCTGCGCCACCAGGGAAGCCTGATTGCTGTTAATTTAAACCACTAAGCCAGGAGTGCTTTACTGAGCACCAAAAATCACTGAAATAATGGTAACATTATTAAATTAGTAAAGCTTTTGACTTTGTACAGGGCAGAATGGAGAAACAAAACTTTGATACAGAATGGAATATTTTGATATACCTAAGAGGGATGAATTAGATTTATATACAGCAGCATAGATCTCAAAAATATGCAGTGAAAAAAAATGGCATTTATATACATGCCATTTATACACATGCCATTTATATACATTTTAAGACACACTCAAAACAATCCTATGTATTTTTCAAAGACCCACAAATCTAAATCAGAAAAACATACATTAAATATACTAGGATGTGTGTCTATGAGAGTGAGAATAGGAATGAAAAGGAGAAAATAATTAAAAAACCAAACAAGTGTCACATCATTACTAAACTTGATTCACATTTTCTTCTGGGCACACAGCTAAAATCTACTTCCCACCTCCTGGGCAATTAGGTGTGGCCATATGGTTGCTTTAACCAATGGAATGCAAAAGATGTTGGATCTGCAGATCCAACACTTAGAAGACA